ATATTGGTTTCATTATTATTCTATTAATAATAAGTTTTATAATAAATCAATAAACAATAAAAATTATCATTATTATAGTTATAATATTAATAACTATTTTTTTATTTTTTATTTATTTATTTATTATTATAAATATTATTCTTATTAAGGTCGGTTTGGTTGTTTCCATGTTCACCATTTAATGTTTTTCATCTAGTTTTAGATATATATATTTTTGTGTTTTTTATGTATTGACGATATATGTGTGATGTTTGTGTGTGTGTGTGTGTGTGTGTGTGTGTGTGTTCGTTTGTGTGTGTGTTTGTGTGTGTTGCCTACGTGTTTGTTTGTGTTTGTTGGTAGGATGTACTGTTTTTATTATGCCTATCGGTTGGACACTCCATAAAGTGTAAATGTTGCTGTAATATACTTACCGTTTATTATACAAATTGTTTTATTATTTTTATTGTTGCTTCTTTAATGTTGTTCTTTTCATTTAAAAAAAAATATTATTTTTGTTTATTTACTAGTGCTAGAGCCTCAAAAGTCAAAACAAATATTGGTAAATTTCACATTATATGTATGTGTGTGTATGTATAAATGTATTCATATGTATTTGTCTATATGTGTGTGTATTTGCGTGTGTATGCGTGTTTGTGTGTGTGGTGTAAATTGAATGATTGCTTTTATTATTATTTTAATTTTAGTTTTTTGTTGTTTCAAAACATTTTTTCATGCTGATATTATTAGCACAATGTTATTAAATACACCAAGCTCGTTATCAGTAAGATGAAAGGTTGATAGTAATTATTATTTTTTTATTATTATTATTATCTGTATTATTATAACAATATAATATCTTAAATAAAAAAAATATTTCTTTTCCTAATTAATTTTGTAACAAAACCTCATGTATTAGTTCTTATAATGCTAATTATATACGTTTATATATAGTGTTTATATGTTATTATATCGATATATACTTACACACACACACACACACACACACACACATATATATATATATATATATATATATATACCTATAAATATATATATATATGTTTATGTATGTATGAATGAATATAAAAACTGTCAGAAATGCAATTATTGATGAAAATCACAGCATGTTCTGCGTTAGTTAGCTTCTTGTTTAATTTTTCGATTTTTCTAACGGTAGGTCGTAAAACATTGTCAAGTTTCTTGAGTTCAAAACCAAAAGTTTTATTTATTTTAAGCATGATAGAACAAAAAAAGCTTATTTCGGTATTCCTATACCATCTTCGGTTTTCAAATTGATACGTTGTGCTCAAATATTTATACTCTGTGTCTCTACAATGTTAATTCTTCGTTTCAATACTAAACGACCATTTAATTTGTTATTTATTTGCCGTAAGAAAAATCGAAAAAATAAACAAGAAGCTAACTAACGCTGAACACGCTGTGATTTAAGGTTAGTGTTATATATATTTATATGTTGCTACACAATTAATGTAATAGTTCAATAAAGGACATTCCATATATTGTTTTAAATATATGAACATAATTATATATATATATATATATATATATATATATATATATATATATATGTATTTATATTATGTACATAAATATATAAATAAATATTTATATAGCACATCTACGCTTTTATATATAATGTAATAATAAAGTTATCTCATATGATAGTTTCTAATTAATACATATGTAAAGAGCTTCAGATAAATGGGAGATTATTGTAGTGTCTTATAAGGAGATTAGTTAATTAATTGGTTGATAGATTGATTGATTGATTAATTAATTAATTATGCAAATGCTTGGGCAAACGTAATTGTGTTCAGTTGTTTTAACAAGTGGTTTATTGGTTTTTGTTAATGCGAGCTTGGGTATTCGATTCATGAAACCATTCATGTGGTTTATATTTATATGTTAGATATAATAAATATTTTTATGGCTCTTGTTTCTTTAGGATTTATTTTTTTAAATTCATTATTCTAGTTTTTTAATTATTATCATTGCTAATAACTCAACGAAAATACTTATTTTTTAGTAGTAAACTCTTAATTACTGTTTGATATAGGACTTATTAACCATTGCTACTTTTAAATATGGGACATATATATATATATATATATATATATATATATATATTTATATATATACGCTAACAATTTTAACATCTTTTTAATGAGAGATCTATCAGTCTAACCATCTTTATTACTATCTATGTCAACCGGATATTAATTTAGAATTGGGAATGTCTTTTTAACATCTGATCCAACCGACGCACGTATTAATTAGCAAGCAAAGCAAGCAGATCAATATGATTGGAGAAGTATATTTTAAAAGTATAATTAAAGTTATATTCATATTCACTATTTGTTTATCATTTCTGTTGTTGAAGTTATAACGACAAGCACATGCATAATGAATGGTTGTTTTTTCTTTTTTGGTTACTTACAAATGAATTGGGTATCATAGATATAATATATATATGTGTGTGTAGTATCATTCAATCCTTCATCAATAATCATTATTTTTATATGTTATTATTATTAATGTTATTAGTTATTTTTTGTTTACTATCGTTAGTATCGAAATAGATGAATTATTTGATATAATGAATCTTATACAATTTGTAGTTAACGACCTATCTAACTAGTCATCGTATATCTAATGTCTATGAATGGTAGTTCATCGGGGAGTTTATCTCACTAGGGTTACTAGTAATAACTAGTGTTATTACTAGTAACTCCTTTTTATCATAATGAAATAGTTTTGGTATATATGATTATATACATACATATATATATATATATATATATATATATATATATATATATATATATATATATATATATTTATATATTTTTACAATATTCTATAAATTCTACCGAATGTTTGGCGTTAATATGTTTGTAGTTCGTTTTTTCGATTTTTCTCACTAAAGTTTTTTGGTGAACGTTTAGTTTATTAAAATTCAAAATAAACTTATTTTAATTGGCTAGTGACAAAGAAGAATATGATGCTATCGATGAAGAAAAGGGACCAAAGAAGATGACCAGCCAATTAAGAAACCTGACACCTAATTCGCATCAAAGTTCAATTTTACAACACCAAAGTTAATTTTTACAACGTCAAAGTTCATCTTGACAAAGTCAATATTTCCCTATATATACAACAAGGAGCACTGATGATGATTCATTCGGAATCGAAATATGGCCTTATTTGCAGCATGAATTCGAAAAATAAGTTTATTTTTTAATTTTAATAAACTAAACGTTCACCAAAAAACTTTAGTGAGAAAAATCGAAAAAACGAACTACAAACATATTAACGCCAAACATTCGGTAGAATTTATAGAATATTGTAAAAATTATGGTCTATTACCAACACACGCACACGCACACACACACACACACACACACACACACACACACATATATATATATATATATATAAACATGTATTTATAATATGACCATTTTATATATGTAGCATATACATATATTGGCGTTTCTTTAAATTTCTTATCAATGAATATATGTATGATTCTACAATGTAGGTATAACGCATAGCAGTTATTAATATATGATTTATATATTAGTTTAATTTTTCATGATTTTTTTTTATTCATTATTATTCGTTTATTTATTTGGTATGGACGGTTGGTTGGTTAGGCTCGTAAAAGGTGTAATGATAATATATATAAGTTTATTATTATTATTAATTATTATTATTGTTTATTCGTGTACGGTTTAATGTACATAGATACGTACATTTTTATACATTAATTAATAAATATACATATACGTGTGTACATATCACTAGATCAATATGGTAGAATTAAATTTTGAATTTAACATCATCATTAATATTGTTGAATTGAATTATTGAATTGAAATTTATTAATAATCATCATTTGTGTTTGTAGTTTGTACTAAGCTTGTGTAAGTACAATGAAACTTTGCAATCTGATTGGTTGTTCGTTCGTTCGTTAATGTCATTTATTATTTTAGATGTGTAATAACATTATTAATTGTAATAACAATATTACAACAATGTTACAATATTAACAATTACCTATTATAATTGTTAACCCTTTCTTCATTGTCTAACCGTAATAATGAATGATTCGGAATGAATGAACAAACGAATGATTGAGTGATTAGGTGAATGAATGAATAATAGAATAATTGAATAAAGGATTGATTGATTGAACGAAAGAATTGATTGACCTTTATTTTGCGTTTGAATAAGCTGATCGTTCTGTTTCAGTTTCTTGCTGTTTGACGTGGAGTTCAGTTGATTTATTTAGTTTATAATAACTTTCTGATAAATTAATTCATTAACTATTTAATGCCATTAAACTAATTAATTTGTCTATGTAAGTTATTAAATTCACCATGTATATGTAATCCGTGTTTCTACCCTTATCTACTTTGTAGTTCAGTTATTAATTCAACTGATCATTTGCTGTTTTTTTCTAAATTAATTCACAACTGAGATAGGAGAAAAATAGAGGGAGAGAGAGAGAGAGAGATGAATTTTTAACTGCCGTACAGATTACTGTTAATTTATTATTGCGGTATTTTGTTGCTTAAATATTTTTTCGTGTTAAAAGAGTAGAATAAAATAGAAATAAAAATATTATCGTATGAATTCGATGATTGAAATACATTTAAAAGTGACACCTTTCATGATTTGCTAATAATAATTATTAATCGTTGACGTTTGATTTTTAATATATTTAATTTATGCAAAACTTATTTTAAACTTCTTTTAACAAGAGCGCGTGTACACATGTATATAATAAATTTGTTATCAACAAAAAAACAGGGTTTGTTCTGCAATCTTTAAAAGAAAATGAACCAATTGTAAGGGTTCGTTGGATGCTTAACATTACGACGACAATCTGTAAAGATTGATTTATTTGTTTTCGTTGAGCTCTCGTGATGACATTTTCGAGTCACTTTAGCAAGGAGTATGCTATGAGATGCGTGCCTGTTCTGTGGTATTCATTAGAATCTTAAATTGTTAAGGACTGTAAACTTTTTTCCAAGCTTTTGAAAATTAGCCAGCTCCAAAAGTCTGCCGCCACTCAGGACTTCCCGTTTCTCTGCTTTTAATCTGGGTTTCATGCTTCCTCTTATTGGTTTTGCTCGATGACTTGGTTCAAATGCTGTCAGAAAGTTCAAGACTCCGTATACGTCGTATGCATAATTCGTCCTTTAATGTAATGTACGATCTCTATGGCAGAGGTCCAGTAGTAACCTAGAAACGATACATACACTGTTTACTCTGCACTTGCCAGAACTACACAATAATTAGAAATGCAAGATAGAAAAGACTTATGAAATCGAAAAATAATTATATGAACCTTTTATTTTTTAACTCTATCGATCCAAAACCGCCGCGGTTTTATAAAAGCGTACCGAAACTTAAACTAGAAATATAAAATTTGTATCAGCACTTTACACGATGCGTATCCAAGATTTTTTTGTTCAAACTCATTTGCAGTCATGTATTTTCTTGAAAATAAACATTTTTTTTATATGAAGAACGTATTAATAATGATAAACACTGGAAGCTTGGAACCTAAACTTTCAACAACTCTAACGTTGTTCGATAATGTACAGCAACGTAACAAATATCGGTAATCATTGTAAATATGTAAACATCGATTGATTTCCTAAAACTCCATTGCGAGATGAAATAGAAATGTCAAAATCATTCATGGAAAAATTTTTTTTCTAAAAACATTTTTTGTTCACCAATCATTCAAACATGATTCATACATTCATACATACATGTTCCACTCGTTCATACATTAGTCCATCCAACACCTTTCACGTGTTGGTTAGTTGTAGATCAAAATCTCCAATGGTGTCCAATACTAATGACAAAAGTTCGAGGAACCCATTAACACTGACCCTCAATGACCGACTGTCTTTGGCTTTCCACGATCTGCCAGGGTTGTGTTGTTTTAGAGTTGTTACAGTAAATTCAACAGTTGTTACGGTAAATTCAAATTGTCAAAGTACCCATGAGGCCTTAGCAAATATGTGTAATACAATTTTGCTAAAACGTTTTTAAAGTTTAAATGTTGACATATGATTTTTATTTGCAATTTTGGTTTAGGAATAAGGATGAGACTTAACAAGATGGTAAATGTTGATGGTAAACAAAGTACTCAGCTTAAAAAGTCATAGCAAATAATTGGCTAGCAGAGCTCTTTTATTAATTATGCATTCTATTCTATTCTATTCTATAGATAAAAATAGACAATTCTAAATTAATTACAAGCATGGTGACAGAAGTGAAATTAGGATAACAAAACAACAAATGGTTTTAATTAAACATTATTAAACAAACACAATGAGCTTTGGGCCTTCAACATTGAGCGTTCTCTCTATTTTGTTTTTGGAGGGTTCTTTATCAATCCTTAGTGAATTGTGCACTATTTGGGCATGTCTCTCGTTTGGTAGCGTCAGCTCAAAGTTCCTAAGTATAAAAAATAAAACTTTATTATTTATGACAGATTTAATTAGAATAAATGTTGTTAGTCAAAAGAAAGTGAATGTTAAACTAAAAGCTAAACTGCTAAAGGTCAAAATAAACTAATAGAGATGTAAAAGCAGCTAGAATCAGCACGTGCCATGTGTGCACAGGCACGCATGTAAGCCTGTACATCGTCCGTTATAACGTCGCCTAGTATTAATTATATTATAGATACATTGCCATGTGCAAGTGGAACACGGCCTACTCGATGTAATATTTCCATAAAAAGTGCAAAAAAAAATTTTTTTTAATTAAAATTGTATTCTAACATGGTCAAAGAGCCCTGCTCAGCTGGAGAGGTCATTCCTGCCGTCTGATCGTTTCTTTTTTCAATCTGACAATTCATCAAAGAAACGACGAATTAGAGTTCGATGAAGTTTACTTTTCAAATATCAACAAAGTCAAGTTAGCATGTTTTTATATATAAATATCACTTAGTTGTCTATGATTACACACAATAATAAGTAATAATTACATTTCGGTTTCTCAAAAATAAAATAAAAAACTGATTAAAATGCCTAAAAAGCTAAGTAAGTAATAATAATATTAATTTAAAATGTTAAAACAAAGATCGGCACATTTTATTTCCTAATTTTTCAGATCATTAAGCCAGCCAGCTCAGCTCAACTAATTTTTATTTAATTAATTTTTTAAAGTTTTTATTGGTTTAGTATACTATACAAGTTTAATATAAGAGTGAACATTAAAATTAAAAGTGCTTACTGTGTTAACTGCATAGATGAAATAATTTAAAATACTTTACATTTACTTTACAATTTACATAATCATAATGATTATGATTATAAAATAAAAGCAGTGTTGAACCTTTTTTAATTATTAATATAAATATCAATAAATTATAAATTATATAAAAAATTATTTTTAATTATTCAGTTTGAAAACAAAAATTAAACTGGAGCTTTTTTCTTTTCACTTGTTTGCCTCTGGAGGTTAGAAAGACAAGGATGTTATCACTGAAGATACATAGTGATAAAAAGCTAGATCCCAAAAAATGTTTTGATGTTTTGGTTAAGGTCTGTGACAATGAAATGATGTTTAGTATGAAGGTAATGATTTTGATTTAATTGATTTTGCTAAATTGTTTGTTATATTGAATCAAATTTTTAAATTATTCATCTAGCTTAATTAAATTTTAAAACTCAACACATTGGTTTTTATTCAAAATGAATTTTTTAGTTAAAAGCAAAAGGCAAAGACTTGATGTGTTTAGTTAGTGATTCTCTCGGCTTGAGGGAAATGTCCTACTTTGGCATGCAATTTGAGGACGTGAACAATGATTTTGTATGGCTTGTGAATAATAAGCAGGTTTGAAATTTGTTGCATTTCAAAATTATCATGTAAATTTTTTATAACCATATCCTTTGTTTTTTTAAAAATATAAATTTTGTTTAAAAATGTTTTCATTTGAAAGAATCTTCATAAAATATCTTTTTTTACATTAGTGAGAAATAGTTTTTCATAATATTGTATGTCATTTGAAAACAGATCTTATCACAAAAAGTCAAATGCAGAATGCCAAGAGAATTTACCTTCACGGTGAAATACTACCCTGAGAACTTAACTGCAGAGCTGATACAGGACCAGACAATTGAGATCTTCTTCTCAACAGTACTTAACAACATCACATGTAAGGATTTGTTTAAAAATTTGAGTGGTGAAGAAGTCGCCATCAGTCTCATGGCACTGGAGTTACAAACCAAGGTAGGTAAGTCAATCTTTCAACTTTTTCAACTTCTTATATTGATTTTTTCAAATATATTTTTGAAGTTTTGTTTTACTTAAAATTTATCTGTCATTGTTGATAGTATTTTTTATTCTATTCTGTTATAATTTTTTTAATTCAATTGGAAATTAATATTTTTTTAAAAGCTTCATGTGCAATAAACATGAGAAGTGAGGTGGATGCTTTTACTGACCAGCTGTTCAAAAAATATCAAATTACCAAAAACAACCAAAATGAAGAATTATTTAATCTGCAGTGCTCAAAAGTTAAAATGCTTTCAAAGTTTGTTTCTGCAGACCTGGGGGATGATAATGATGATAATATTGATAATGTTGACAATGATGATGATGGTGAACATGGTGATGCTGAAGACGGTTGAATGATGGAATGAGGATATTGTATCGAAAACAATTAAATTGTACACCACAAAATAATTTTCAGAGTGGATGCAGAGCTTGAGTACTTGGGGTTAGCTCAGCAGTTCAAATGCTTTGGGGTCACATATTTCAATATTAAAGTAAGTAAATCTTGCTTCTTATGTTGTTGTGTCAGTTATTTTTATTTATTTTTTATTATGTTATTGCTTGTTATTTTGACATTTCATATCTAGGCTCTTTATATTGTCATCACTTTATATTATCATCACGTGATTTTGATTAGAAGCGTATGTATCATTAAGTTAATTGACATGTTTGCACTGATGAAAATGATGATGTTGATAATAAGATAATGATGTAAAGATAACGACAGTGATGATGGTTTCAAGATGATAGCAATGATTATGTTCCTAGTATGATGACAATGATGATATCTGTGTTAATGATGATAGTAATGTATCAACTAGCAACTGACTTAACTTTCTTTGAAGAGGAACAAGACAAACAAATGTGTCCTTGGCATAACAAACCGTGGCATCAACGTGTACAACACAACTGATGTCTATCAGCCCTGCTTCAATTACACATGGAACCAAATCAGTAACGTCTCTTTCAGTGACAAAAAGGTTTTTTCTGGATTTTTTTTTCATTTTTAATTTTGTTTCTACCACGTGCAATTAAATTATTTATTTGAAAATATTCCATGATATAACTTGGAATCAACTTTTATCGTGTTTGCAAGTTTAAACCATACAACTTTGTTACAATAGTCATCATCATTGTAGAGATACACATATGAACTTGCTTAACATTGGAGTTGAGTGCAAAGTAGACTGGGGTAAACAAATGTATTAATTTGATATTTTTGGCTATCAAATTTTTTTTGCATCTAATGAAACGTTTATCTGTGTGAATCATGAACATTAAGGTTGTCATTCGTAATATTTTTCAAACATTTAAAATAAACAGCTCTATGCAACTATGTGTTGCATACATGCGAATGAAGTTGAGTTATATAACACAGATTTAGTATGCATGTAAACAAAATTGAACTAATTTTTGCATTGTCAGACTTTTCAACACTTCATATTAGTCTGTAATTGAATAGAAAAGCATGGCATGGACGATGATGAATATGATGTGATGTTCTACATAACAAACGGTTCATCGCTATATAATGTGATGTTCTACGTAGCAAGCACAGTTCATCGTTATATAATGTGATTGATGTGCTACTTAACAAACAGTTTATGGTTCGAATGGTGGATCGTTCAATGCAGGATTTTATTTTCTTCGTTGATCACGTCAAGACAAACAAAACAGTTAGTTACCTTACCATCATGTGTGGAATGCTGTGGAATGTTCTATTGTTTTTTTCATTATCCTCTAATTTTATCTATATAATGTTTTTTTCTGTTTATTTATTTTTGATTTTCGTTTTAATTTTTTCTTGTTTGTTTGTCATGCTTCATTTTTGTTTCACATTTCAGCATTTGATACGAGGTTAACATTAACTCTGCCTACCACATCACAATCTCCCGATTCAAAAACACTACTTAGTATGCATGCATGCATGCACTGCAGATAATTCAGCTGTGTATGGGCAATCATGAATTGTTCATGTGTCGGAGAAGGCCGGAGCCTCGCGAGATGCAGCAGCTGAAGATCATCTCCGTGCAGGCCAGGAAGCAGAAAACTGTTAGTGGCAGATTGTTTGTTCGTTCCTTCGTTCGTTCGTTCGTTCGTTTGTTTGTTTGTTTGTTTGTTGTTCAACTTTGTTACGTCGTTCATAACGACACAATGGCCGTCGACATTAGCAAATAACTGTAATATTTTGAACAATAATTAACAGTTAGAAAGAGAGATGATGGTGAAAGAGAGAGAGGCGAATGAGGTGATGGAGAGAAGGATAGAGGAGCAGCGGAGTCTTGTTGAACGACTGCAACTGGAATGCCAGCAACTACAACAACAACTAACACTATCCCAAGATGCCCTGGTGGGTTTTCTTTTGTCGTTCTGTTGTTGATGTTTGGGATGAGGATGATGATGATGATGATGATGATGTGTTTGATCAAGTAACCAAATTTTTTTTCTTCTTTTTATCATCCTCCATAACATATTTGGTGCATCTTGGTTTTGCGTTATGTATAAATGAGACTAATCTAACTGGCAGCAGTGTAATTCAAGTAGCATCCTGAATGAATTGTAATCATTTTGTTGATCACATCGCACCTCCCACGCACCGTTACACCAACAAATTGCTACTACAAACTGATTAGGTGCAGTCCGAACAGTCATGTGACTTGTTGAGTGAGAGAGTGATGTTGCTGGAGGAAGAGATTAAATTGTTGGATGTCAAGGTCAAACAACAAGAGTTGGATCTTTACAAAGCTGACATGGCCAGCATACAGGTTAGCAGTGGTGACTTCATTGAGAATTTTGTATTGAACTTATGTTGAGGAATGGTGGCTTAGCTGTAAGATGCCCGTCTCTAGTGTTGCCTTAACTGGGTTCAAATGCAAAAAGACTTTCCGCCTATCATGTAGATGCGCGCTTTTCACACATATGCGTTTCTCACATAGGGCGCTATATAAATGAGCATTATTATTACTTTCGTTACATTACATACCTTGTAATCGTGCTATTTCTATAACGTAATGGTTTGCCATTTTCCAAACCACTCTGTGTACAATAACATGGTAATGGAAAAGTAGTTCTTTTGCTGGAAATGTTATGCATTCTAACCCGGTCGCTAGCGCGGCACATTAACCGTTTAGCCGTCTCGCAATTGATTGTAATTTTTTAAAATTGTTATTACTAATAATAATGGAATATTTATGATCATGTTGAATGGTGTTTTCTAGATGGAGCAGGATAGGATAATGTATGAGAGGAGGGCACTGGAGGCTGAGATACTGGCATCCCAGGTTGTCGAGGAGTGCGATAGCAGGTTATTATTATTATTATTTCTGTTGTTGTTATTATTGCTATTATTTTGTTTATACCCATGCAAATTCAACCATTTAATTATTCATCCATCTCATTCATACCTATCCATCTCATTAATATCCATCCATATCATCATTCGTCCATCCATTTCATCGATATCCACCGTCCATCCATCATCTGATTGGCATTCGTCCACGATTGCAAGGTCTAAGGAGGCCGACCAGCTCAGGTTGGAGATGATGGAGATGAGAGAAGAGGAGTTGAAAACGAGGAATAAGTACCGACAACTACTTCAGCTGTCAGTTGCTAAGGTGCAAGTTTGTCTTTCTGTTTGTCTGCGTATGTGGACTGTCCGTTTATCAATGTGTGTGTGTGTGTGTGTGTGTGTGTGTGTGTGTGTGTCTGTTTATCTGTGTGTATGTGTGTGTGTGTGGTGTGTGTGTGTGGTGTGTGTGTGTTTGTGCTTATCTACATGTCTTTGTGTTTTTGTGAGTGTGTGTGAAACGCACATATTGCTCATAATTATATAAATGCTGACAATTGTTCTTTACGATCGGTCGATCAGTCAACCAACCAACCAATCAATCAATTAGTACCCAAAGTATGTTCCTTCGAGTGCTGACATGAATGAAGATGCAACTGAAGTGGGTGGTGTTGATGAGTTGAGAGGAATTGATGTCACATCACTATCCAGGGAGATTGACAACGATAGGTTTGAAATTAGCTGGTTGGGTGGTTGGTTGGCTGGTTGACTGGTTGATTAGTTGACTGGTTGATTAGTTGACTTGTTAGTTAGTTGGTTGGTTAGTTAGTTGGCTGGTAATTTGGTTGGATTGGATGGGTTGATTGGTTGCAGGCTTATCTGACTGGTTGGTTGGACGGATTGATTAAGATGCTGTCGGATGATGATCAAGAAGAGGATGTCCCTACGATGATGTAGACGATGACGCTAATGTTCGAACGATGAGAATGTTGATTTTTCTTGCTCCAGGTTCACTAATTTGGAGAAGACGAAACATCTGCAGCAGAAGTTGAAACATTTGAAGTCAGAGATTCAAGTGCTGAGAGTTGATAAACCATCTACAACAGCTACAACAATTAGCAACAACCACGTTAACAACAATAGTAGCCACACCAACAACAACAATACAAAAAATGACGTCAAAAACATTGCTGATGATGATAATGATAACAATGCTGATGATGATACGATGAAGTTCATTCGTAGTGATGATAACAACGTCGATAATGATGATGACGATGATGATTACGACGACAACGATGATGATGATGATGATGATGCCTCGAATGATTGTAAGAGTCACGTAAGTTTATTTCCTTAATTTAAGTGTCGTTGGTGATTTTTATTGTAATGGTGATGACACTGATTACGAAGAAGCTGGCTGTAACGATGATGATGATGATGACGATGTTGATATTGATGATGGTGATGAATGATTATTGGAATTGATGGTATGTCCATGATGAAAAAATTCATGATTGAATATCTACCTAGTGTGTATTTATTTAACCATTGTTACGTCCTGTAGCCGCATTATTCACACACCCTCCTCACATTTTTTTTCCAGAGAAGTCAACTCAGAGTGCAATTTCTTGATTCTGCCTAGTCAACTTCTTCTTCATCATCGTCTTCATCATTGCTGTCATCGTCTTCGTCCTCATCATCCCATCTTCATCATCATCATAGTCATCTTCTTTAATGCAATCGTCATCATCATCCGTCGTCGTCATCTTTTCTATCATCATCATCATCATCATCATTAACTTCATCATCTCCACCATCTAGCATTTCACTTGTTGAAAATTGTCACAAAACATCACCGGACTCGTTGCCTTAGTACCTGTTTTTGTTTATACGAGCCCACTTTGAAAAATTTCTAGTTTTTTTCTTATATTCATTTTATTTAATGCAGAAGCAATTTTCACTGGAAAATTTAAATAACATAATTTATTTCGTTTTATTTATTTTTAATGATATGCAAATCGTGGTATTACGCACACACACACACACGCACACGCACACATACACACAAACACACATTTAAACGTTGACTTTTCATCATCATGTATTAAGCTTATAAATTCTAGTCTAATCTATCAGATATTCTTGGCAGGAATAATTGTTATGGAACAATTTGTTATTTTTTCTAGTTGTTTTTATCTATTTAATTTTAAATATTTATTTATTTATACATATTCAGCCATTAATTATTTCATTCATTCATTCATTTATTTATTCATTCATTCATTTAACAATTCATTCTTCGTTCATTTTTATTCTTGTTTTGCAATATTGTAGTTAAATTTGTCATTTTATGATTTTCTAACTATTTGACACTTTCTAACCCTAACCCTTCAATTCATCTTGAATTTGTGCTAATAGTTTAAAACATGCTGATTGCAGCATACAATAAATAAATGACTGCTGAATGAATGAATTAATCATATGTCGCGATTAAAATAAAAATATACCAAAACAATTTCTTCACCACGCTAAACCATCACACAAATTCAGATTCTTTAAAAAATTTGTTATTTTAAAATGAATATATTAAAATTAGCATGTGTGTATGTATCTAAATATTCACATGTGATATGTTCTGATGTAGTTAATGCCTTCATCTGCCTATGCACACGATTTGATTGTATGCAAGCACATTTCGATGCTTTTTAAATTTATTCACTCGATACCTATGCCTTTAAAGAACAAAATCAAAAGTGCTTTAATTACGTGGTTTATACCTCGTTGTTGTTAAATAATGCTGACTGACCTGTCTTCGATATTTTTATCATCGTGCTTGTATTCCTTCCTATGCACGTTTTGTTGAATCGTTATAAACCATATACGTTACGTTCATTTGCTGTTGGAATTGTTTATTTCCGTCTCTTCTCACTTTGTTTGTTCAACGACTTATCCCTCTTTTTATTTTTGCTCGTTTAGATGTTTACATGTAAGTCGTTTTGTTAGTTGATGTATTTTAATTGTAATGTTTTTTTTTATTCATTCAAAATTTGTTATGACGGTGGCCTGCCATCTCGTTCAAGCAAATGTTCAGTTAGTTTCGTTATCATGACAGTTCCTTTCATAAACATGTTGAGATGATAGTACAAATATGAATTTTAAATCGATTTCACTTGTTTGGTTTGTAAATTATTATTCACCTAATATAAATCGTTTTTTAAATTTCATTACACTCTGATAAACATTTAAAGAGAATTCACTATCAATGGAGCTGACGATATAACTGGCCAGATGACATGCGATGCCATTTTGTCAAATAATTGCTCTTCAAATACGCTCATTGGAAAACTTTTGCAATACGCACACTTGTAGGCTAAGGGAAAAACTTTTTTATAAATTTAAACGTTGTTATACTTGCAGTTAACAATACTTTTAATGTTCTAGTTATACTGAACGTAATTTAAATGAATGGACTACGACTCTGGTCGATCAATTTAGCGAACGAGAGGAACATGATGAACAGAAGAATAAATTTGTGATGGAAATTTGAACTAAGCATTGGAAATCTATATACCTGATGATAGTTATACAATTGTATTTACTGTTTAATTTGCTTGGTCTTGTAGCATAAGCAGTAGTTGTTCATTTTTATTTTTTAATGACTGACTGACTGACTGACTGACTGACTGACTGACTGACTGACTGACTGACTGACTGACTGACTGACTGACTGACTGACTGACTGACTGACTGACTGACTGACTGACTGACTGACTGACTGACTGACTGACTGACTGACTGACTGACTGACTGACTGACTGACTGACTGACTGACTGACTGACTGACTGACTGACTGACTGACTGACTGACTGACTGACTGACTGACTGACTGACTTGACTGGTAAAATGGTCCTGAAATTGAGAATGAAATGAATTCTAAACAAAGAAATTACTACACCAAACCAATAATTATTTATTTATGGTAGCGAAAATAAACATTGGCTAATTTCGTGGGTTCTACCTTCTACTTCGAATAGTTTTTTGTGGAGAAACGCTTTTTAAATGATTGAGAAGTTGTTTGAGACGATCGGGCTGTCCGGCTTGTTTTATTTCGTGGCCGGTTTGTTGTTGGGGTATGTTTTTTTCTATAGATCCACACCGAACAAGCAGCAGGTTATTTTTAATTTATTTTCTCAGTTTCATTTTAATTAAATTGAAAGTTTTTAATATTAATTTAAATTTTTTTAAAAATTAAATTAAATTATTAATAAGATTATAAAACTTTTTTTTATTTTCTTCATTAATCTAAACTAAGGTTCTAAACTTAACTAAACTAAGCTGAATATTTTTCATCCTAAGACTTTCATAAAAATAGAAAATGTATCCACATATCATCTATTTTCTATTTCTATTCTATTTTAGTACTGTGTTTTGTTTTGGTTTGTTCAACAACTTACTACATAAATATATTTTTTTATTGTAACATCACAATTTTTATATAAAAAATTACTATTTCCTAATTTATAGGATAATGATGATAGATCTCATTCAAAGCATAGTTCAAATAAAAATAAGAAATCTCAATGTAACAGGTTCAAAATATTGAAGATTTATTTTGCTACACAAAGTGGAAAGTCAGAAGTAATTAGTTAACTGTCATGATTAATAATTAATTCAATGAATAATTTATTACAAATTTAAATTATAATGTTATTAATTATAAATTATTGCTACTACTAAAATTGGTCTCCAATTTAATGATTATATTATGTATATTATATATTATTGTGCTATATGAATATTTATTATATATATATATATATATATATATATATATATATATATATATATATATATATATAAATATATATTATTGTCTATTTGAATAATTATGTAAAATTTGCGTAATTAAACACAAAGAAATACAAAACACAAACCAGAAATTAGCCAAAAAATTATCTGATGCAGCCAAGGAAAGAGGCTTGGATGTCAGGCTGATCAGCCTAAGTAATTATGATCCAGATGGTAAAATACAGAAAAATGTACTTAAATTTTGTAATTTTTTAATTGTAAAACTTAATTGAAAAATATTTTTGGTAATACTATCTGTATTAAAACATTAATTTTTAAACCTTTGATTAGTCAAAAGCCAATTAGCCGATTTAATTCTTGTTATAACATTCTTATTTTTAAATGGCTGACTCTAAATTTGACCCACAGCTATCCAAGGACACACTCTGCATATTCATAGCACCCACACATACCTGGGGACAGCCACCAGAAGATTCTAGATGGTTTTTTCAATATGTACACGATGCTTCTGGTGATTTCAGAGTTTCTAAAAAGCTTCTTTCAAATATGTCCTATGCTGTCGTCAGTCTTGGCAATTCAGAATACGCCGAGCATTTTTGTACTGTTAGTAGCTGTAGTTTTTTTTTTACTGGATTTTATTTTATAATATTTTTTATATCATTTTGCTTTTTAATTAATTGGTTTATAGATTTTTAAAAATAATATTTGAAATGCTGACAGGTTGGAAAGGAGTTGGACAAGGATTTGTTGCACCTAGGTGCTCGCCGGGTTCTTAAGAACTTCATCATTGATGATCATCTCCACAGTATGCTAGCAGATAATTTTATAATATTTTTATTTTTGGATTTTGGGTTCTTAAGAACTTCATCATTGATGATCATCTCCACAGTATGCTAGCAGATAATTTTATAATATTTTTATTTTTGGATTTTGTTATTAAGTAATTTAATTTATTTCATAGTAGCTGATATAATAATTAATGTCTGTCAATTTTGTATAATTTTTTTTTATTTTCCAAATATTTAATCCAGTCTAAATTTTTTTGCAGACGGCGACAAACGATTTGACATCTGGATGAATTCATTATGGTCATTGATTGCTATCAATGCTGCCTCAAAGAATCTACATCATGGTGACAATAAAGTCATGTATGGTGATTGTGGTGTCGTCAATAATAATGGTGATGGCAATGATGTCATTAGTAATAATAATCATGTATGTTGTAATTCGTCTGCTGGTGACCATGCTTGTTATAGGAAAATTAGATCTGAGATTAAGGATGAAGAAAAATATAATGAGGTGAGTGTTTGGGATTTTTTTCTGTGTTCTGTTGGTCTTCATTTTTTTCTTGAAAGTTTATTAAGAGAGAAATTTGTATAAATAGATAAATCAAAACTGTAGTTTTGTCTTATTTGCTGTCTTAAATGTTCATTTATTTCTTATTGCCATATCACTGTATCTTTTCAGAAGGGCCATGGTGATAATAGTGGTGAAATAAGGAACAATCATAATGGTGTCATTGACAATCATAACGTCGATGATGATAAAGATTACAATATTATTGACGGTGATGAAGATTATTATGATGAAGATGATGATGACGAAGACGAACAAGCTGATGATGGTGACGATAACGTTTTGGATGTTGAGGATCTAGCTGGTGTGATAGATGCCGCTGCTACTGGCAAAGCAAAAAGGGTAATGTTTGAATTAGGAATGCGTTGATTCCGAATCCAGATTCTAATTTGGGTCCGTATGCCGGGATCCGCCGTGGATCCGGGTCCGTACGAATCCTTCACTTAGATTAGAATCCGGATATCACGGATTTGACATCTGGATGAAGAATTCGAATTCTGTTTTTTTATGATGCATCTGATGTTATTATGGTCACAATTGATGGTTTTTTTTTGGTGTAGATGCTTCACTTCCTCTTCCTTGCAATGACAATTTCGGCAACATTGGTTTATACTTGTGAATTAAAACTGCTAATTATTCTTCTTTACCATTTCTGTTTACAGTTAAAATCATAAAACACTCATCAGTTCGTGAATACTAATTGTGTTATGTGGTGATTTTCGTGTGTGTTGCAATGCAGAAACCGATGTGGTACTCTGTTTAAAATCTTTCTATTTTTTAATTTGAGCAAAAAAGTATCTGGATCATTGATAAATTTTGCAATTAAACTTTGAAGTAAAACTTTAACTAAAATCACAATCTCTGATGTAACTAAATGTGAATTAATACTTCTACACACATAGTCAGTTGGACCAATAGACATGATCACACCGGTCATTCGACACTCTCTCGAGAAACAGGGCTACAAGTTGATTGGAGGTCATTCAGGGGTCAAGTTATGCAGGTGGACCAAGGTGATTGTATGATTGGCTTACGTTTATTAGATGGTAATGCTGAAAGTGAGTTGGTCGGTGTGGTAGATGGTGATAAAAGTTAATTGATTTTTTTAAAGATGATTTAATTCGTATCAACAAACGTTCCCCAAAACCAGTCAATGCTGAGAGGACGAGGAGGATGTTACAAGCACACATTTTACGGCATCGAGAGTCACAGGTGTATGGAGACCACACCGAGTCTTGCCTGTGCCAACAAATGCGTTTTCTGCTGGCGGTCCGTGCCGTGTTGTTCTATTTGATGTTCTTCTATAGCCATTCTATTGGATGTTTTTATTTATAATGTTTCTTTGTCTTGTTTCTGTCTTTTTGATTTTAATTATAGAACATTCGTTTTCTTCTCTTTTTTTCATAAACTATCAAATGTTACCGCTTTTAAAATGGACAACTCCCATCTGGCAGACACCACACAAATCCAGTCGGCACAGAATGGAGATGGAAAGTTGACGATCCTCAGATGATCCTCGATGGTGCCATTGAGAACCACTGCAACCTCATTAAACAGTTCAAAGGTTTCAGCCGGTTTTATTTTCATGATTGTTTTAACTTCATTCAAACTATTCTAAAATGTGAAAATGTTTCTTGGTTTGAACGTTTTCATTGCGCTAAGCTCATATTTTTGTAAACTTTTACATTTTACATCTACAAATTGTATGAATCTATCTATAAACAGTAGCAATAAAGTCTTGCATTGCTATTCATTTGTATTCAGAGTCATGTTTCTTTGTATTCACACTCATATTTCATTCATTCAACTTTTTTTTTTCATAAAAATTTATTTACTTAGAATTTAAATCAAATCAACTCAGGCGTTCCAGGTGTTGAGGTGGATCGTCTGCTGGAGGGAATGACGCCAGTGCACTGCGCTTTGAGTTTGGTGGGAGAGCCCATCATGTACCCCCACATCAACCAGTTTGTTCATCTACTGCACCAAAGGAAGATCTCATCATTTCTTGTTACTAACGCACAGTTTCCTGAAGCTATCAAGTTTGTTGGCTGTACTCTGCTCAGTTTTGTCATCATCATTTTCTTTATTTTGTATTCATGTAGTCGTTAATTCGTTTTTGTGATTGTTTGCTTAACCAGCTGGCTAAACGTTCTTCAATCAACTAATTAACTGATCATTCAATCAATTAACCAACCATTTCACCAACCATGAAACCGTTCATCACCCACCTGTAACAACTGTACGACATTGCATGCCGTCAAGAAACCTCATCCCAGTGACTCAGTTGTATGTGAGCATCGATGCCGGCACGAAGGAGCAACTGAAGAAAATTGATCGACCACTCTTCAAAGATTATTGGGAGAGGTACATCTCCTGTCTGAGCGAGTTGAAGAACAAGGTTCACTGGCACTTCATTCACTCTTTAATTTAATGTTACTGTATGTTGCTCTATCATGTATATTATCTGTATCATTTATATCATCTGTATCATGTATATTACTTCTGTCATGTATATCATCTGTATCATGTATATCATCTGCGTCATGTATATCATCTGTGTCATGTATATCATCTGTGTCATGTGTATCATCTGTGTCATGTATATCATCTGTGTCATGTGTATCATCTGTGTCATGTATATCATCTGTGTCATGTGTATCATCAGTGTCTTGTATATTGTCATCATGTGTAACATTCATGTGTATAATTTCATAAGTTTTAATAAACTTTCATATATGCGTTCATATATTGATATATGCTTGATAAATTGTAGTGATAAAATTGATTGTTTGAATGACTGATAAGCCTTTGGGATTCAAATCTTAGGTTTGCAAAAATGAAGTTCTTTGTTTATCACGGTGTAATCATGCACGTTTATTTGAGTTTGTGGATTGACATTTTATGCTGTTCTACTTTTAAATGTTTAGTAACAAAGAAAATGTTAATCCTTTGATTGTTCATGATGTCCTTAGAAACAAAGAACAGTATACAGGTTAACTCTAGTGAAGGGTTACAACACATCAGACATTGAAGAGTATGCCAGATTGGTCCAATATGGCTGTCCTGAATTCATTGAAGTCAAGGTTTGTCATTTGATTTTGTCCGAATGGTAAATCCTTACTGAATCTTCTAAACACTAAGTAAATGATTTGAGACGATTGAATTTGTTAAGAATGACTTGTCAGTTTTAAAGGCATTATTTGATCATTGTACGCAACTTTTGTCATACCCAGCCATTTAACAAAAAAAAAAAAAAACAGTAATCTTATCCAACACAACACTCTCACAAACGCCTCACACGCTTGGATAGGGTGTGACCTACTGTGGCGATTCAAAGTCCAGCCATGGTATGACCATGAAGAATGTTCCATGGTTGGAGGAGGTGGTCGACTTTGTACAGAAGCTGGTCTCTCTGCTTCCTGATTACGAGATTGCATCTGAACATGCTCATTCTCTATGTCTTCTTGTTGGTCATAAGAAGGTAAGCATGTGTGTAAATATGCATTTAAATATGTGTGCCTGTTTTATCAATATTGCATTTATTTAATGTCATGAATTCACTCAATTTCTTTAGACGCCAAACTTTTTTATTATCATTAATAATTTGCAACAATCAGACCATCATCATCGTATCATTTCATACTTTCATTAACTGACACCAACCAGTTCAAGAGAGACGACCGATGGCACACCTGGATCGATTATGAAAAGTTTCACGAATTGAACGCATCTTTCCAACAGGACGCCAGCAAGACGTTCACATCTATGGATTACATGGCCCCAACTCCGACGTGGGCCTGCTATGGAGCACCTGAACGAGGGTTTGATCCCGCCCATGTCAGGTTCAGGAGGAAGAATAAGGATGCAGTTTGATGAGGGATGGTGGATGTGTGAGGAGTGCCCGTTTGTGTCTGTACTCGTTTGCATGCATAGATCTAGTTTATTTTAATTATTATTTATTTTAATTATTATTAATTTATTTAAATATGAAATTACGAATATTTCGTCAACTACTCTTAACACGTGTATGGATTGATAGGTGGCTATTTTAAATGATTGGATGGATGCGACGGTTTAAATGGTTGAGAATGTTCAATCATGTGAACTGAACGCGTGTCTATCTGAACATTTTTCTATCCTATTCAACATTAAGATAATCTCAAAACGCGCTGTATTTATAATTTCAAAATAAAACAGTACAATAATGTCAAGTTATTTAAATTGAAATAATTTTCAGTACTCCGAGTTTATATATGACATAATAAACCTCACTGAATGTTTTAGTAAAGGTTTTTTTAAAAATGTTTATAAATAAGATATGTAAAAACTATAAAATAAAAAAAAACATTGACAGCATAAATTATTATTACAGAAAAAATAGAATTTTCTGGGAACTAGAATTCAATGTATTTTCTATGATAACAGCCATTGAAAATCGAAGCAGTAAATCGTTCATTAGCCTTTGAAACCAGATTCTTCTTTCAACAAAATAAAAATCTTTTAGAAGAATTACAATAAAAATTTTGCCGTTTTTAAATACAAATAGTCTCAGATTTGACACGTCGGTTTGTTAATTTAACATATAAGTTGATCGCGATGATCGCTTGACGAATCATCAAAATCTGATAACACATTCATCTTGGTGGTTGCACAGTCATGTGATCAAAAACAAGTCTTCAATGAAAAGTACCTAGCTATTAAAAATGAATTTGAGTTGTTGAGAAAAATAAATACAATACAAAAGTCAATCTTATAAATGTGAACTCAGTACACAATGTGTACTTGCTTGTACATTTACAATGGAATTTCGCTTGCATTGTGTGCGCCTAGACATTCTCACGGAAATAATAAAAATGAACAGCATTTAGCGTGTACGCTGCGGTTCAACCAATTGGCATAACAAATTTCTTCTACATATAATACATTGTTTCAAAGACACCGTAAGACAAATAAAGATTAAAAAATTTTAATGAATATTTTCCAAGAGTAAACAGAATTTCATTAAAAAGAGATTTGGGTGATTAAATTTGTTCGGAAAGGTACTGTATAGCAGTTGTCATCATGCCATTTTATGAAGCTACAAAGTTCTGCAATGTTTTCTCCCGATTGGTTTGATATTAGAATAAAATTGAAACGATCAGATATTGCACGGTTTGTTAGTCATCTCAATACATATATAATATAACTACATGTATAAATATATATACACAGAATAAAAAATAGTCGCTGTAAACTAAATATTTTTTGGTGATTAATTTTTTAACACTATTTTATTTTACAAAATATCAAGATCATGTGAAGAGAGAGAGAAAGAGAGGAGAGAAAAAGAATTAAGATGGTTACTATGAATTGATGCAGGCTTATGTTTTAGGAAAATCTATTGAAACGTTCACTGTTCTATCTGATTTTTCCTCTTCATCAGAAGATTCAAAAGTTCGGACGGTTGCTCAATGCGGCCATTGTTGTAACTGTTGCTGCCGATGTCGTTGCTGTTAAAGAGAGATGGAGGAGGGGGAAGAGGAGGAAAAGTGAAGTCGTTGCTGGTCGCAAATTCTGTGGGAGGTGGAGGCAACGGTGGGGATATCGGGCCTAGAGTTTTGTTCCTGACGGTGCTCATGTTGTTGTTTGTATTGTTTGAGTTGTTGAGTGTCGTGGTGTTTTTTGTGTTCCACGCTGGCTTTGGAATGTTTTGTGGCTCCAAGTTTCTTGCTGCTGGGAGATTGCTGATTTGTGTGGTGTTGTAATTTATGCTTTGAGTGTTGAGGTCTTTTACGGGGTTCTGTGGGCTGATTTTTGAAGGAGTGGGGAAATTTATATCGTTCTTGATGCCGACACTGTTTGTAGGAGACGCCAGAGTTTTGAAATTTGATGGAAATGTTGGTGGTGGTGGAATGAAAGCGAATGCCGGAGCTTTAGGAGATAGTGGGTTAGTCGTGGTTGGTGATTTTAAACTAATTGTACCAATTTCATTTTTATTGTTCTGTTGCTGGACTGGTTTGTTTAGCAATCCGTTGTTGAGATTCAGTGGTTTGAGTTGTCCTGCATTTTTAGCAAAGCTGGCCAGTGGCGCTTGAAATGTTTGAAGATTGTCAGTCGGATTTACAGATCTTTGAAGGCTAGGAAAGTTGGAGCTGGTATCTGGCAAGTTGCATGAAGGACCACGTTTCGGTGGCAAAATTGGAATCAGATTATCCGTTCTTCTGGGTGGTAGTGAAAATACGCTGGAATGTTTGTTCGTTTGGTTCATAATGCGGTCAACTTCACTTCCGTTCAAGTAAACGTCAGGTGGCGGTGGGGGAAAGAATGCTTCTTCGGAATGTTGTTCATTTGGTGATTTCTGTTGGATCGTAGGTAAAATCGGAAATGTAATGTTTCGTGGTGGAATATTTTTGGTTGGTGTTGATGATCGTTTTGATTGATGTTTCTGTTGTTGCTGTTGTTGCCCTGCCATTTTGAACGGAGTTAAGATTTTGGGCTTATCATTTTCTAAACTAGATCTCTTCTTATAATCCTGTTTAATATCGCTGTTGTCTTCATTTTTTAAATTATCAATTTCTGAACCATTACAATAAACATCTTCATTTTCATTAGTTGATGTTTTGTTTGGCGTTAGAACATCATCACAATGTTGTCTTCTTTAGCATGAAGAGCCTGTTATTGATGTTGTTTGCTATGTTGATGTTATTGTTGTTGCTGTTTCTTATAATGTTGTTGTTTGGCATGTTAGATTGGGACCTTTGGTAACCGACTGTACTTCTGTCAGCGTCCTGGTGTTTCGAATTTTTATTACCGAATATTCTCAGCGGTTTGTGATGTTCCCTGAGAGATTCTGGAATGTTGGTAGTGCTGTTGTAGTTGCGGGAGTTGCTAATATTGCTCGTGTTGCTATCCATTTTGTTGTTATTCTTGTTAGTTGAGTTGGCAAAGTTGTTGTTGTTGGGTGTAAAGGGGTTGTTTTGTTTGGCCCACGAGGTTGGTCTAGATTCTGTGCTCGACGTTGGAGTGACATCAAACTCGAACTGCTGATCAGCTGAACCTTCAACAAAACAAATTCTCAATCACTAGTTAATTATTTCAATGATTTATTGTCAATTGGATTTTTTTTCTAAAAATTTTTATTGCAGAAAATTTTAGTTGTACAAATTTGTTTGGATGCTAGCGTTACTTTAAATTTTTAAATATCAAATGCCAACCACAAACGAATAACCAAAATTTGACAGATTCACAAATTACGTAAGAAACATGTATAGGCACCTGTACTATTTTCATTGCTGTCGTTACTTCTCACGGAGTTCCATGGATTGGAAGTAATCTTCGCACTGGAACTGTTCTTGTCTATCGCCAATGTACCCCAGTCACAGCTGGAGAGGCACTGGTGCAAGTAGGGAGTGCTCTGGCTGATCTTCGACAACTTCGAAGTCAATAAACTGCCTGCTCAAGTTATAAGTTACAATAAAAACATTATGGTAATGTTAATTTATTTCAGGGCTATCATTTTATGACGAGTTACAAAATGAAAACAACAATTAAAACAATTCAATTTTGGCTTAAAACGATAAATATCTAAGAAACAATATCAGGCTAAATAAAAATGTTTGACTCAAAACGAACAGCATTCAAACAGCAGCACCAACAAAACCAACCAGTGCTTCGCTTTCTCAATGTAGACCTGCTCTTGTCATTGTACTCCGGTGCATCTTGTGAGTACACTGTTGTTACAATTTGTTTGTGTGTTATTTGATGTGTTACAATTTGTTTGTGTGTTATTTGATGTGTTGTTAAAATTTGTTTGTGTGTTATTTGATGTGTCGGTACGATTTGTTTGTGTGTTATTTGATATGTCGGTACGATTTGTTTGTGTGTTATTTGATGTGTTGTTACAATTTGTTTGTGTGTTATTTGATGTGTCGTTACGATTTGTTTGTGTGTTATTTGATGTGTTGTAAAAATTTGTTTATGTGTTAATTGCTGTGTTGTTACAATTTGTTTGTGTGTTATTTGATGTGTTGTAATGTTTGTGTGTTTGTTAATAGTAACATAATATTGTACAGATGTTTGACAGACAGTAAACATGCAAGCAGTGGCGGATTTAAAATTTGTAGTGAGAGGTAGTGAAAAGTATTTGAGGTTTGTCTGTTATTTCTGTCTTTCTTTAATATGAATTTTTAAATTTTCATGTGTAAAAAATATCATTTGCATTTGTTTTCATTAAAATGTTTGTTAAAATTGTTGCTAATCTGCATAATTTGCCTAATTTATAAAAGCCGGCGTATTAATAAAACTCTCTAATGTTGCTCTCAGGTTCGACATAGCATGAAAAGACAGAAGTATAAAGAATGCAAGCTACAAACTGATATCTTCAGGTCGATGTGCCTCTATGATGGATTCCAACTTGAGGTTCTTGTAGAACCTTGCCAGGTCAGCTGGGTCTTGGTTGATGAGGTTGCGAATGTGTTTGTCTGCTCCTCGATATAACAACATCCTTGCACAATCTTCCTGGTGGTTTGTTTTTAATGTGTCGTTGTTGTTGCTAATGTTATTGTAATGGTTACTTGATAGTGTTGTTGATGTTGTTGTTTTCTAATTGATGTTAATAAAGTTGATGTCATTTTGTGTAGAAACTGATAACTTTTCATGTTTGTTGAAAAATTGATGCTGTTTTAAAGTTAAAATGAATGTTTTTGAAGTCTCAAATATTTTATAACTATTGTTATGGTTACAGTTTCAATTTAATTGCGCTTGTAAATCTATCATTATCTTCCTAGTTGATCATGTTCGCCATCATCCTCATTAAAATCATCACCTTTTTATTTTTACCCGAACATCACCATGATTCGCAACTTTCAACTAACTTGGTTGTGCATAGCGCACAGGTGCAGAGGTGTGTTGCCAGTGTTGTTCTGGCAGTTCAAATCTGCCCCGTAGGATATCAGGAGGTCCAAGTGCTGCACTCTTCCTAACTTGCAGGCCTTTGGATGTGTGAGTGTGTGTGTTAATGTGTGTAGATGTGTGCGTGTGTGATTATGCGTTAGTGAATGTTTGTAAATTTTGTGTGTGGGTGCCTATGTGTGTGTGTGTGTGTGTGTGTGTGTGTGTGTGTGTGTGTGTGTGTGTGTGTGTGTGTGTGTGTGTGTGGGATTGTATGTGTAAATGTGTATGGTTTTAGTGTCTGTATTTTCGCGATTCTCATAACTATTGATACGGCAAAAGCCAAAGTAACAACGAAGTTTCATCACATTTTCCACAGCTCACAGACCTGATGCAACTCAGTATTTCCCTGGCCGTCGACGATTCCAAGCAAAGCAAAATCTCTCAGCAGAGCACCAGCACATGAAGGGTTGGAATTTGTGAGGATGGAATTGTAAAGTGGGGTCAATCCGTTCTCATCCTGGTAGTTTGCAGATGCTCCAAAGTTTAGAAGGGCCTGTTTGACATGTTTGTTTGTTCGTTCGTTCGTTCGATCGTTTGTTCGTGCGTTTGTTTGTTCATGGAAATAAATTATTTGTGCATGATTTTTGTTTATTGGGGATAACAATGATTGTGTTAAAACAAATTTTGGTGTTTAAAATTTCTTATTTATTGACAATCAAAATCTGATAGATGCATTCTGTTGAGATGTGTACGTAAAATTAGACAGGAAATCCCTTAAAATGCCCCTTACATGTTTTAATATGTTGCAATAAGATTATGTTAGCGTTTGTTCGTGTGCTTATGCTTACAGGTCTTTGTGGTAATGTTCGTTTATTGTTTGGTGGATGTTTTGTTAAAATGAGCATTTGTGTGGCTATTGCTAAGCTGCGGATATTTGCACAGAGCTCTTCTTCGCAGCATTCTGACACTCTTACGTCAAGTTATTTCACGTATTTTACGCTTAACAACACCGAAGTGTACACGTACGTACAGCCATCTTTCGCATGATTTAAATTACCCCGTTGAGATTTTATTCAAATAAACAAATACAATTAAAAACGAACTAATGAAAAAATAAATAAATAAAAGTGAACATAATCATTAACCTGAAGAGCAGGCAAGTTGTTGAGGTGTGCAGCCCGGTGCATGGCGGTCCACCCGTCCCTATTTCTAAAGTCCAGGTGGGCACCGCCCTCTACCAGTGACGTCATTATTTGTTGGGGGTTTGTCAGTTGGGCGCTTAATGTTAGGGGACATTCTGAAAGGAGTTTTAGTTGAAGTTGTGTTGGTTGTAATGGAAGGGGTGGTTGTTGTTTTAAGATGGGTAGCAGTATTTGTTGTAGCGTTGTAGTTTAATTAACTGTAGTGATATTCATTTTTAGAATTATAACACGTTTAATTAATTGTTATTTAATTAAGTTTTTCAGAATAATAAAAATGAGTGGCAAAACTATTGAAGCCGAGCAGACCTCCAGTTTCAGTGTCGATGAAGTTCGGGTCGAGTCCCTTATCGATGAGGCGGGCCACTTTCACCACCGTGCCGTCCTGTATGTACTGGATGAACTTCTTTTTGTTACTCTGTTCGGAAGTTCATTCATTCACTTAATCAAAATTTTATTCACTGAATCTATCAATTCCTCAAACTGTCATCCATTCATTTTCATAATTTATGAAAATATTTGATCCCAATTTTCCGTCATCATAAGTATTATTATTTGGCTAGTTTTACACAGGACGCCCTTCCTTACGCAACCACAGTTATAAGCGGTGAGCCTAGCCTTTGATGATCCAACATCACTCACAAGGCAGTGAGGGTCAGTTTAATGTCATAACCAGGACAATTCATAATGGAGGGGTTGTTATTTGAGATTTTGTATGCAGATGATTTAGTCTTGATGGCTGATAGCATGGAAGAATTGCAGTTAAAATTTGACAGATGGAAAAGTGTTATTGAAAAGAAAGGGTTAAAAGTTAATATTGGTAAGACGAAGGTAATGGTGAGTGGGGAAGGTGGGGAGCGAGTGATAAGTAAAATAGACCCCTGTGGGGTATGTGATAGGAGAGTGAAGGCTAACTCGGTATTGTGTATAGGATGTCAGAAATGGGTGCATAAGAGATGTAGTGGTGTGAGGGGGGCACTGAAAAAGGTGGAAGGCACGTTCAAATGTAAGAAATGTGTTCATGGTGTGATTAATAGGACGGACGCAAGGACGGGGTTGAGTGGTGGTATTGAAAGAGTGGAAAGCTTTGTTTACTTAGGGGATAAGCTGAATGCGGATGGAGGATGTTTGAGCGCAGTTACGGCTAGAGTTCGTGTGGGATGGATGAAATTTAGGGAACTGGGTGGGGTATTGTGTGGAAAGAAATGGTCAGTGAAGATGAAAGGGAGGGTATATAAAGCATGTGTGAGAGCAGCGATGGTATATGGTGGTGAAACTTGGGTGTTGAGGAGAGAGGAGGAAAGTGTACTGCAGAGGGCTGAAAGAGCTATGGTGAGGATGATGTGTGGGGTTAAAGTGAAGGATAGGAGGAGTAGTACAGAGCTGATGTCAAGGATGGGACTGAATGAGGACATTGTGACATTGATAAGGAGATCGAGATTGCGGTGGTATGGACATGTGTTGAGAAGGGATGAAAGGGTCGGGATTAGGCGAGCGTTGGAGTTCGAGGTTGAAGGAGTGGTAGGAAGGGGTCGTCCGCGATTGGGATGGAGAGAGCAGGTGGAGAAGGACAGGGTGAAAGCGGGGCTGCGTGATACTGAGGAGAGTGACAGATGTGGATGGCGTCGAGGGGTATTTCGGTTTCATCATAGGTAGCCAAACGGCAACCCCCGATCTCGGGGAAAATGCCGTCTAAACGTGTGTTGTTGTTGTTGTTGTATTTGATCCCAATTATTCAATTAAGCTGCGGAAATTCTTAAGCTATAGATAACTTAACCAATCATGTTTGCTAGTTAAAGATTGTGTAATTTATTATTTATTAATCAAAAGTTCAATCAATCAATCCATCTATCTAGTCAGCCAACCAATTAACCAACCAAGCAACCAAGCAAGGAACATATAAGTGAATGGATTAGCATAAAATTATCTGCCGAAATTTCACGAATATGATTTTGAAATTGAATTTTCTCAAAAGAGTCGAGAATAAATGTTTAAATTTAAACTTAGCCAGCGAGTATGCATTGGCATTTGCGTCTAAATTAGGCAAACAATGAATTCAAACAATGAACAATAAAAAAATATGCAGTACTATGGCTCGCTGGCTCGGTCGGTCGCATAACTTCCTAGCTAGCTACAAAATATTTACATGATTTTCTGAAAATGCGCATTTAGTTGTTGCTGTTGCTGTTGTTGTTGTTGCTGCTGTTGTTGTTGCTGTTTTGGTTGTTGTTAATGTTGAATATTTAATGTTATAAATTGTAATGATATAATAACGTGTTAATAGTAATTATGATAATATTGATGATGACGATAAAGATGATAACAATAAATAATACTAATACAGTAACATTTTAATAATAACAAAAAAAAAACATAGGAAAAATAAACGAAAAAACTGAGAAATACAGAGAAGAAGAAGCATAACAATTGAATTAAATAACACCTAAAAGGTAGTGTTATTATATCTTGGGCGTGATTCGTACACGCGAGCAGTGCGTGTTTATGCTTTTAGTTTACTTCATTGAATTTGTCACCGGAGAAGAATGTTAGGCTGATTGAAATCAGTTGACGACACACAATTTCAGGTATTATCAAATCAAATTATAATAGTCACGATTATCTGACAATTTTTTCAGACAATTAGTTTACAACTTATATAACTTGATATTTTTAACTTAATGACACATAGAGCAGAGAGGCAAAAGAAAGAAAGAGAGAAAGAGAGGAAGAAGAGTGGAGAAGAAATGAAGAGAAAGAAAGAAGGTGAAAAAATTTAGCAAAACCTTTCTGTTTATTTAACAAAAAAATTTGATGGTAGTCAAATGAACATCTCTAAAATTTATAATCTAAAAAAATAATAACATAATAAATTTATTCATAAATATAAAAATAAATGAACAATTTTGAAAAAGTGCTTGGTTCGGTACGTATGGCTCATGTTCCCATTACAACTAGTTAGTTACTTGGCTTGATTATCGCAACAGACCAGCAATTAAACGAGAATGGAACTTGTAACAACTTGATGACAATCAAAGTACATTTATTTAAGTACCGGTGTACTGTACTTTAGGCTATAGTACGTGTGTACTGGATTGTATAGTACGCGTGTACTGGATTGAATACTACACGTTGCTGTCTTGTATAGGTACTCTTAGATGGTACATACATGGTATATATATTTACTTTTTACGTACAAAGTCAAGTGAGTAAATGCCACACTAGCAGTTGAATTATAAATTTAAATCATTCCAAAGTTTTAGAAATTTTTTTTGATTGAAACATAAAATTTTAAAATAAAAAATGACCCTAAAATTAAACAAAAATGGCACCTTAACATTCAATTCTTTCAATTTCTTTGTATTCAAAGTTGACGCTTTGTAAATCTTCTTCTTAACAATCAGCTGCTTGTCGGCAGAAGGGGTATTTCATTATTTGAAATTATCATAAATATTATTAATACCGAATAAAAAATTTCATTTAAGAAATACAATTACTGAATCATTAACAAGTACATTTTACTAAAAAATATTTTTACGACTTAATCTTTAAATAACAAAATATGAATAATATTTTCATACAATGGAGAGAGAGAGAGAGAAAGCGAGAGAGAGAAAGAAGGAAAGAGAGAGAAAAAAATAATTGCAAAGACAAAAAAGACAAACATGTAGACAGAGAAAGAAGAGAAAAAGAGAGAGAAAGAAAGGATAAAAAAGAACTAGAGAAAAGATAAAGAAAAAGCGAAAGAAAGAGAGAGATAGAGAGACCTGCAAAGTTGTTCCTTCTTCGAGGTTGTACTCTCTTAGAGATCGATCCTCGTCCAGATACTTGGCCGCTTTGAATGCTGTCGACGGCTGGTAGAAACCATAATTCAGACTATCCTTCAAGTCCTTAGGAATAAGATGATGAAGATGAAGAAGATGATGTACAAGATGAAAAAGATGGTGTGCATGATTATAATTAGAGGATGGTAATGAAGATGGAGAAGATGATGGACATGATTATAATAGGAAGAAGAAGATGAGGATGATGACGTATACATGATTATAATGATAATGAGTGTGATGATAAAATGAAAGATATGATAGTGGTGATGATAAAAATTATAACGACTGAATGCGTTGATGACAAAAATAGTAATTGTAATGATATGGACATCACCATAGACATCACCATAAATCACCATAGAGGATCACCATAGCGGATTATCATAAATAAAGACGATGATGTTATCAAGAGTTTTTAAAAGAATGAAATACTATTTCTAAAATATTCTTACACCATCTTAATAGCAATTGCAACAAGAATATTATTAACGAAAGGTTAACGCAAACGTTAGAACAGTGTATTTATTGATGACGCAGTGCTAAGGTTCGACTGCACGCTAGGCCAAAAACAAATGCTTGATTGTATAATATTATATTGTATGTTATTTACATAGGCGAAAAAACTTGGGTTATTGTGAATGTGTTGCTGCGCGTCTGTGTATCTCTATCTGTGTGCGCACGTATGTGTAATAATAATAAGAAAAAGAATAATAATAAGCAAGGTCTTACAGGAGCGATGGTATTGAGAATGTTCTTCTTGATGTTCCAAACGAGGTCATCATTGTTCAACTTCAAGTCAATCTGTGTGGCGTAATTAATAATAATAATAATAATTATTATTATTATTATTATTATTATTGTTATTATTATTAAATACTTAACCTCTTCAATGTCATTTTTTTAATATATATTTTTTTGTTGGTTTACATCAATAAAAAGTTCCAACAAAGTTTTCCACTACTGCTCTAATGAAGCATCCGAATTAAGTCATATTTTTGTCGTGCGTGCCATGTAAAAATGGTACATACAATAAAATGAATAGTTATGTTATATGTTGTTATGTTATGTTTAAATAGTGTCTAAGTTTAAGTATATATATGTTTAGGATATATGGATCTATATGTTTAAATCGCGTTCAATTATTTTCAGTGATAATGCCTACTAAATTTTAAGCCACAAAATTAACTAGGGAAATCCATCAAAGAGTTGATACAAAACTGTCTGGATTAGTTGTCTTATTGATTTTATTCAACCACATACATACGTTGATGCTTGATCACGTACTCTGTAGTACGTAATTAACCTTAATTTGTAGTACACATCCGTGTATAATCATAAAAACAAAAAATATACGATGATATTTTCTATTAGTATTCTTCTCAAACGTTAATAAATGTAGATTAACTACAATTACTTAATGTACATGTATAAGTGCAATACCTACTTACATCCAAAACTTTTACATACATACAAAACTCTTACATACATACTTACATACAGAACTATTACATATATTCTTACATACAAAACTTTTACATACATACATACTCACATACAAAACTATTACACACGTACATACTTACATACAAAACTATTACATATTACATACATACATACTTACATACAAAACTATTACATACATACTTACATACAAAACTATTACAGTACCACAATCAGATATAAATTAAAGCATTTTATAATGCATAAATATCTCAGTGCGTCCATTCTTAGTTGGATTTGACGAGGCAAATATGAAAAATATGCACGTGGTTAACCTAGAGTATATAAATAGAATGCCATATAAATAAACCTTGACTGACATTTAAAGCAATTAAATTTAATTAGGGATTATTTCAATTTAATTTTATACACGTCAGATTCAATTTTATTTACTTGGATTTATTCTGAATTTATGTTTAAATGTTAAAGTATATTTTTGTTTAATTAAAATTTATTTTAAAGTCATTTTACCCCATTTTGTGCTATCAACGTCATTTTTACTCTTTTCTCTTTTTCTCACCTCTCTCTCTCTCTCTCTCTCTCTCTCTCTCTCTCTCTCTCTCTCTCTCTCTCTTTCTCTCTTGTTGTTCTGCTTTGATTAGGAAAAACAAACCCTTCAACCATCCATACATTCAGTTTCGGATTTGTTGAAATTTTTATTAAAAAAAAAAGAGCCAGCGTAATTGTTTTATATATTGGCAGACCCAGTGTAAACGAAATTGTGCGGTAACAAAAAAGATCTCCTAGTATTTCCATGTATTTCCAGATTTCGGCCACAGTCCTCCAAAGTTGCCTAGACCCTTGCACGCATTTTTGTTCCAGTGACTTGACTTGGTTGCTTCATGGCGTAATTAATGATATTCATTCTACTTGAAGATGTGCTTTGTTCGTTTGTGGATTCACTCATCTTATATTTTTGTATGTGGATACTATCTATTATCTAGTAAATTTGTTGGTTATATATAAATTGTTCATGTGAAAATTGTTTGGTTATATTATATACACATAGTACAAAATAATAGTGCAGTGTAAGCACACAATGTGTTTTCAATACGCTCATGCCTAACGCAGAATAAACAGTTCACCAGCGAAATGCACACAGAAGAACGTTAATTCGTACGCAAGTACGCACGGCATGTTTTTCTGTATTTGTATTTCGTTGTATTTCTGCTTGTATTTGTATTTATGAGTTTTTGTTTTGTATTTATAAGTATTTGTTTTGTATATATGAATATTTATTTTGTATTTGTTTTTTGGTGGGTATTTTGGTACCATATTTACAGTATATACAAATGATTACTTTTGTTAATTATTATAGTTGTATCTTTTTGTATATAGTTGTATCTGTATTTCGTATGTTAGTTTGTATGTGTTTGTGTTTGTTTGTTTGTGTTTGTTTCTGATAAGAGAAGGGAACAATGCATGGTTATAAAAATGCGGGCTGACACGCAACAGTATATGCAGAGTAAAATAATGCGGTGATCGATCGATGCACTAAATGAAATGAGGATTTGAATGGAATGAGGAAACGAATGAAAGTGAATGAAACGATGGAATGAATGAATGAAATAATAGAATGAATGAACCTAATGGAACGAATGAATTGATGAAATGAATAAATTGGCAGGCAGACAGACAGACAGACAAGCAGTCCATGAATAAATCATCAAATAAATTAATTAATCAGTGCAAAGTGAATGAATGATTAAAAATTGAATAAATAATTTAGAAAAAATTATTTCTTATAAATATTTGCAACTATATTTTTAATAATTTTTTAAAATAAATATCTATCAAACTCATAAAAGTTGTTGTGTTTGGTGATCATTAATTCGCGGGAATTTAGCTCAACTGTATCAGATTTTAATTGAATTTTAGGACGCTTTTTTACGAATTTTACGACCACCAATGACTTGATTTGATTTAGTTAATAAGTGTATTTATTGGTGATAAACTTTATCAATTTTACTAGAAATAAAGCAATGACGCTAACAAAATATATCAAGAAACCCAAAAACGTTAATATCGTTAGCAACAACACACCAAACTTAACATCAACAACAACACAACGACAATAAAACTAATTTTATAAACAAATTCCTCAAAAATAGAAACATAAGCCACAACAGCATCCACACCGAAACATTTAACAACATCAGAAACATTAACAACAACAACAACAACGGCAACAACATTAACTAACTTCTATCGATTTGACCGGAATCTCCAGCCTAACATTAACAATGTCATCCATTTATAATTTAGTTGCCGGTATTGTAGACTATGTTGTCGCGGTTAACTAGTTAATGTGTTGATGTTGATGTGGTGTGTTTGTTTTATGAAGTTTCAAGCTTGATAGTTCTCGATGTTATATCGTAACGTAGTTACTGTCAAACTGTTAATTTCAGATGCTGGAGAATGAAATTTAAAAAAATAAATTTGGTTTTTTAAAGAAAAAAAATAATTGTTGCTGTTTTGGTTAATGTAGTTGACGCTAATGTTGTTGTTTTTAATGTAATAAAATAATGTATTAAAAAATGTATGAATACGTTGTTTTCGTTGTTGTTGTTGTTTTTGTTGTTGCGATACTATTGAATAAGATTGATTGATATATTCTTTGATAAACTTTTTTGTAGAAGTGCTAATAACACCTGTCCTCATCATTATGATTTTAATACATATATATTGGATTAGTAGCGTTATAATGGTGATGGCGATGATGGAGACAACGATGGAAATGATGAAGATGAAACTAACAATGATGTTGATGATGATGAGATGATGACGATGGTTGTGATGATGATGGTGATGGTAGTGGTGATGATGGTGATGATGACGATGATGAGGGTGATGGTAGTGGTGATGATGGTGATGATGACGATGATGAGGGTGATGACGAAGATGATGATGCTGAAACAAATTTCAATTATACAATGATAAAAAATGATGATGACGACGACGACAATGATGAAGGAAATGATCCAGTAGTATTATAAATATGATGATAATGTCTAGATTATAACAATGGAATATGAAAAACAATTTTTTGACGATGATCTGATGATGTTGACAAAAAAATTTAATTAGTATACTCGAATACCTGGGCTCTCGACAAAAACGTCAACAATTATGTCTATTATAATTTTTAAATCGTAAACATCAAGCAGAGATAATGAAAGAACTAATTAAGAATTATCATTTAAACACCAGCAATTGCGATCAATGATGATTAGACATAGAAAACGAACTGTTTAATTTAACTAAACAAAAATTTAAAATACCAAACTAATAATTTTTTCAGGAAAGCATGTTGCAGATAACAAACTGGATAACATAAAAGTAACATCAGCATTTGAACAAATGAATAATGTAACGTACTTTATAACCAAGTGAAATTGAGCATATTAATCTTTTCGTATTCAACTCAGATGACGATCATTGCTGTTTGTTTGTTTGAAGGAATCTCTCGCTATGTCACGATTTCGGTTATACTCACTCTCTTCTCGCTTTCTCTCTCTGTTTCTCTCTCTCATTTCTCTCTCTCTTTCTCCTTATATATATATATATATATTAATATATATATATATATATATATATATATATATATATATATACATGTGTCATGTTGTATTTCTGATTATATTATATATTCTGCATACATTAAAGATTATAGCAAATCCAATTCAGACATTTTTACGCTTGACGTAATTTGGGAGCATGCACACAAACAGACACACACGCACACACACACACACACACACGCAGACAGACACACACACACAGACAGACACGCACACACAAAGACACACACGCATATATATTTATTTAAAAATATATATGTATTTATAGTCCTTACTGAGATATATTCAATGTTTCACGGCGTATTGCGAAGTGAAATGTTTTTATGTTCCCTCATCATCAAAATGTATATTGGTATTGAAACGTCGTATTTCACAGTTCATCGCTTCATCATACATTACTTTCACACTTGACAACGTGATTACTTTCGATCATTCGTTGGTTCATTCATCTGAACTGTCTTTCTATTGATTCCAAAATTCAAGTCTTCAATTTTTTCAATCTAAATTTTACCCCAAGGAAATCTTTCAACATTTCAGAAACAAATTTTTCATTATAGGTGCAAAAAACTTCCATTTCAAACACAATGAAACGTATAAAGCGTACAAGATTTTATGGTGAACATGCGAACATGAAAAAACACCTAAATATATCAATTTCAAGTGGTGAGAACAGAGGAACATACGAACACTTGAACATTTAAACAAACATACGTATGAACATTTGAGAAATATGTTATGTGGAGTGAAAACTAGCGAACCAGCGAACAACACTGTACCGCAAGCACACCACAGCAGATAATTGCGATGAATAGCCTGCTGGTTGAGAGCTCTGAATTCAAATTATATTTGCATACACATATCACCTATTCAAATGATTGTACGGAAACAGTGAATTAATTAAACGATTGAATAGTGAATGAGCGAAAGAATTAGCAAAATTAGTTGGCTAAATTAAACAATCTTCATCTTCTTATTGAATTATATTATTTTCAGTTTTTTGTTAATTTCTTGTTTATTATTAGAGAGAATGTATTCATGATTATGAAAATGCCTCAAAGAATGTCACACCGCGGACGAAAAAACAATTGAAACAAAAGGGGAAATATAAAAGCAAATGATCGATTGAGCAAACAAATGAAGGAGTAGAGCGTCCCACCAACAAACACAACAACCGCAGAACAGACAGGTACAACAGCATGACTAACAACGACCAACCAACAACGACAATTTCAACTGAACAATGATCATCTCGTTTCTTCTTTCTCCTTCGCTCAGCACTTTTTTCACACAATGCGCTCACATTATACATACTAATATTAACATCAACTAATTTCTCCTTCCCAATTTCACTCTCTCTTTCTACTCTTCCGCACTCTCTTTTCTTCTCTTTCTTTCAGTCTATTTTGAAGTGCGTATTATTTATAGCCGATAGATATTTTTAGAACGAGCAGATGGTGCTGTGCCATCGCGATCCACGGACGGTGATCTTAACTTTCAATTAGGTCTGGCAAACAATTCAATTATTGTCGACATCTTTGCCCTCATCCTCATCATGTGACATGTGTGCAGTCATTTCCAACTACGAGTGTCATTCGCCAACGTTTTTGTAACTAGCCCTCCCACATTTCATCGCGAAGAAAAGCGACATAATACCACGATCGGCGAGTTAGTTAAGATGGCAAACACGAAGGAACAAAAAAAGTAACTGCGACCGAAAACATTGACCCAGTCACCAGCAAAATTCTGATCATAAGAAAACCACTACCACTAAACTTTATAATATTACAATGAGAAAAATAAGCTCAGTTCATGCCATAGAAGAATTTCATTATTTGTTTGAATAAATTCGCGAAAATAAATTCAAATAGACTGATGATCTGAAAACTTTCAAGCTCTTTCCGATTGCAGGATTTGAATTATGCTTCATCAAATTAAATGACCGAGATGACGTCACGAAAACGTTTTTGCTGAAGTAAACAGCTGTACGATCTATATGAAACAATAACCTTTAGAGTATTAATTCATTGTAACTATTGGAGTTGAGCGTAAAAATTTAAACGCTTCAGACAACGACTTAACTCCAAATCAGTTAGAATGCATATTTGTATATCTGAAAAATTTCTTAAAGAAACAAAAATTGAAACAACACCAGACAAATTTAATTGTTGTAACATCAGTTGATTAGCCAACACATACAAATCAAATGTCAAAACCGATCAGACTACAACTACTTTATTACAGTTTCGTGAAAAATACTAACAAGAAGACAAAAAATAGATTTTTGACACTTTTAATGATAATAACAACTGAGAATAATTTAAAATAAAAGACAGAAATGCCGGTCAGTTATTCCTTATCCCGAGAGCCAGTTCTAATTCAATCCGCCTTTGTTGCACCTGGTAAATAAGTGTCATGAACGATCAACCAGCTAAACAATCGACTGACCAATATATATATATATATATACATAATCAATCAATATACAATACAATCAATACAAACCATGGAATAACTCACACACACACAACACACACACACAGAGAGAGAGAGAGAGAGAGAGAGAGAGAGAGAGAAAGAGAGAGAAGAGAGAGAGAGAGAGAGAGAGAGAGAGAGAGAGAGAGAGAGAGAGAGGATGCATACCAGCAAACGCAATAAAACAGACCTTGTTGTAAAAGTATCTACTGACAGCTTCTTGAGCCCAGGGCTGGTGATAGAAATCTGCATACCTCTCTTCCTCTGGATTGCCAGCTACATCAGTCATTATCTGATTCAGTGACGCATTAGGAGGGAATTATGAATTTATAATTACAAGAGATCAGTCGGATACACGTATCCATTCATCCATCTATTCCTTTATTCAACCATTCGCAGCACACATAATGAGCAAACAACTGAACAATTAAACAAACAAGATACCTTTAGATCTCTGGTCTGTGATAGCAGCCACGTGTTGATGAACTCCTGCGGGTTGTTGGAGAATCCGAGGAAAAAATCCCGGTTGGTTTTCAACTGGTTGATCGTCTCGACTGTTTCATGAATCTGTTGAAGCGTGCGTGCGTGTGTGTTATTTTGTTGTTTATGTTTTATTAATATGTTTTGTATGTATGTATGTGTGTGTGTGTGTGTGTGTGTGTGTGTGTGTGTTTATGTGTTATTAAAATGTTGTGGGTGTGTGTTTGTGTATGTTTATGCGTCATTGGTATGTTGTGCGTGTAGTATCGTATGTTTGTTGCTATAGATGTTTATTGTTGTAGATGCATTGGTTCATACTTTATTTTTTAATAATTTCGTTTAATTTCAAAAATCTTGCCATCTACTAAAAACAAATTGAAATAATTATATACCTTGTTGTCAAGAACTTGAATCTCCTGTTGACTTTGTGTGGATAGCAAGAAACTACTCATCTGCTGTTTCAACGTGTCGTCCTGCAATTTGGTAATAGATCGATGTTTGTATATCTGTTTGTTTGTCTTGTATGTATGTATGTATGTATGTATGTATATATGTATGTATATATGTATGTATGTTTGTATGTATAAATGTATGTTTGTTTTGAATGTATGTATGTATGTTTGTTTGTATGTATGCATGTTTGTTCTTTATGTATGTACGTATGTTTGTTTTGTATGTATATTTGTTTTGTATGTATGTACGTTTTTATGCATGTTTGTATTGTAACATTTAAAAATAACTGAAAACATTTTTATCACTTTTAAAATTACATGTAAACGCTATGTAAACATTCCTTACTAACAATGCATTAAGAAGGGCCAAAGGAATACTAACCACTTCAACGTCTATGTCGTAGCAGGCTGTCTTCTTGGCATCAGGACCCTCCACCCTGTAGAGTTAAGATGGTTGCAAAGAATTTTCAACATTAAACATTTAGAAGAAATAACAAAAAACTGAAATTAGTAAATGTACATGACCACCAATCATAATTCAATGACAAGCACAACTGCACTGAATTATTAACAACACCACACAGCATTACAAAACATGTCATTCAAACGAACAGAATAAAAAAAAACAACTGGACAAGCCATGAATTAAATAAACAAGAAAACAAGTTAACAGACCAACAACCAGACAAACAAACAGGCAGACAGACAAACAAACAGAGAGCAAACATACGCGATGACATGGTTGATGACAATTGGATCGGGAGGCATAAGGAGTGGGGAGAGTCGGGAAGGAATCTCTGAAAACTTCATTCTCTGGCACTCCAAGATCTTCAGTTTTCACAGAAAAATTTATATCAATAAATAAATTTATATTTAGGTCAACTAAGAAATACATCTATTAATCCAAACATACATGCATACAAAACAAACATACATACATACATAAAAAACAAGCAAACATACATACATACAAAATATATCTATTTATCCATCAATGCACATTCACAAAGGCATCCATCGATCCATCCACCCACCCATGCATTCATTCTTGAACTCATCCACTCATCAACAAATCTACCCACCCCTCCATCCATCCATCTATCAATCCCTAACCTGTTCTAGGTACTTGTCGCAGTTGATGAACTCCCTCTCGTGTGCGTCCTGCAGCTGGTGCGTCTTGATGTACTGCCACAGGGCATTGATGACCACCGGACGCGTCTGCGTGTGGATGCCCAGTAGACGGGCCAGGCGAATGTCCAGCTTGTACTGCAGAGGCTGTTCAGGTGGGAAGGTAATGAAATTATGAAATTATCTTAAGAAAAAAGTTCGACGATGATGAGGATGCAATGGTCAGCCAATGAGGTGATTGTCTATTATTATTATTATTTCATTTTAACGACTTTGGTTGAAATGAAAGAGTTTCCATTAATATTATTATCATTATTATTATGTGCGCTAATTTAATTACTTCGTAAGGTACAATGAATATTCATATACTTTTGATACATAATAATGTATCAAATACTTTTGATACATAATAATGTATCAAATACTTTTGACACATAATAATGTATCAAATCAACAGTAGCAAAAAACATTCACCTAATCACTACTTAAGATACAAATGGAAAGGCAGATGCTACCTGGTAGTCAAGCATCAGTAGCAGGGTACACTTGACATTCTGATCGCCCGGCCTTTTGACCTGAAAGCCATCCGTCTCTTGGGTAGTTGCTGTCCTGTGCCACTGTCAAATAAATAAATTATTATTTATTTATTATTTATTTATTTATTACCATAATTATTACATAATATTTTCAAAAATATTATATATACATAATTTTGAGTTTTTGCAATTATATTTTATAAAAATGAAAAAAAAACAGCTCAATCTACATCAATATAATCATGATCATATTAATTGAAAAGAAGCAGGTGGAAAGATCTGTCGTAAAATGTGCAGCACTAAGCCACATGAATACACGATGACTCAGCGACTATGAGTACAAATAGACAAAAATAGTGCTCACCTCCACCAGGTGGTTGTCCGGTCCGTAGAGGTCCTTGTCCAGTTCGATGACCAGACTTTTGAAGAAGGATGAAAACTTTTTCTTCAGCTTGTTGGGGTCGTGAACTTTAGGAGGCTGTATTCATTTTTATTAGTCATAAACTAACATGTGGGAATAAATTGTAAATAAAATAATTCAGAAAACCAACATTTGTTGAAAAAACATAAAACGTTTTTCAACTAATTAGATTACAAAAAACAGAAAAGAATTTCATATTGGTGAAAATACTGAAAAATAGAAATATTTTTTAACGCTAGTGTGAGCAATGAAGAATTATAAAAACTAAAAGAGAAAAAAAAGCAAACCTCCTCCATCAATCTGCCTTCAACCCTCAACTCCCATGACGCCACGCTACCCTCCCCATCCTGTTTCATCATAAGATAAATTTCATCAGGTGTTACTCAATAATTCAGTTAAAGGAAAAGCAAATTTTATATTTCAATGTTTCAAAACCAAACTGTCTAGACTCTCACAAGTTTTCAATTTAAAAACCAGCGAAACAACAATTTGTTGGAAAATATTCAACAACTCAACAAAAATGAAGATGAATGAATGATTACAAAAAATCATTAGATGATATCCAGGTTGAGTTAACATCACATGACGAAACAACAGAGGAAAAGTTCCAACTCCAATGAGAACTCAAAAAACATGACAACAAGCGACAAATCACAACGACATCAACAACAAAAACAAAATTAAAAGCAACAGCAAACCTCGGTTTCATGTTTGGCTGGGTAGAATGTGTTTGATATGAAAATTCTCAACTTCTTTCTTTGCTGCAGAAAAAAATTTACAAGAAATAATTTAGTGTAAATAAAACTAAAAAAAATTCTCAAATGATGGATAAGAAAAACTGAAAGCCTAACAATACAAACATTATCTATTTGACATGCAACATTCAACATCCATTAGCATAAATTCAATTTCATTAACATGAAAGCTGTTCTCATTAGCATAACCACACCCACCTTCATTGGTCTCTTTAGTGCCTCCTGTATGTCAAGCCGTTTCCTCATGATAGTCGAATCAAGTTTCCTCTCAAATGACAAAAGATCCATGTAGGCTTGAGACTCGGGCACCAAATCTCGCACCTATAAAAATTGAATCAACATTATTCTAATTTTAAGCTGAATATTTTTCAATTAAATTATAACTAAACGACAGTTTGCAAATGGAAAAAGATAAAAATGGAAAATAAACCACTTAAGCAAAGACGAGAAAAAACTTGCAGACCCTTTGAGGGAGTATTTTATCGGCCACTTTTCTTCTCTTCTTGTTCTTCATGTGTTGGGGGGTGGATTGGTGCTGCTGCTGGGAGGGTTGCTGCATGCCCCTCATGTCATTCAGACCCCTCTTCCTATCCAACACCATCTGCATTGGGGAGGGCACGTTTGGTGGGTGCATACCTTGCAAGAATGAGTGGTGGTGGTTATTTTAAATATTTAGGTTATGTTTCTTTTGATCTGGTACAATATTTCTCAAAAAATTTACCCAAAATGTATCAATTAAAAAATTTACTAATAATTATTTTAATTAAAATTACACTAAAAAATGTAACTTTTTTAAAATAAGCCTCAACTATATTCTTTGAATTTCGTAAAATAGAAAACCGAAAATAAAACAATTTAAACTGAAATCATACAACATGAGAAACATTCCACATCAAATGAAATCCACTAACACGAACACGGCATGCATTTAAATGAGAATATTCAAACACTTAACTGAATTAATTTGTTATAAAAAAATGTAATACGTCATTAAATTTCCGCTGTAAGACATGTCCAAGATACATGTCGTTTGACATTTTCAACACTTTAACATGGAATGCAAACAACTAATAGTTACCGGACAATACTACATTCCTCTAATTTAATACTCATTCAAAATCTACCCAAAAATTTTCAAAATGTTTCAAGATGTACGTTGTTACGGCTTCTAAGAAAACACGACAATAAATCACTCATTACAATTTAGCCCTATCATGAGCGCCTATTCAAAAGTTAACCCCTAGCTAAATAACCCTGAACCTAACCTACAACACTAGTGTAGAATATTTTGGGAAAATTTTTTGTGCAAGCAAGTTTTTACTGGAGGAATGTCCTGATTATTGGCTGAACAATATGAGAACTAAACAACAACATAACTGACAATATCCAACAACTGTACACACGTCTAGTAGAATTGATGCAGATATAAAACATTGAGAATGATGACAAAATTGACGATGATCATGCTTTAAAAGTAAGAAACCAATGACAATTACAAATGTTTGAAAAAAATCAAAAGAGTTTTTCAGAGGGATAAAACTGATCCAAACAACTCTGAGAAATTTTATAAACATTCAACCTTGTCAAATGCACGAAAAAATAAAAACGTATCAATTGTTATCTATCAAACACAATAAACACTTGGACAGAAATAAAATTAAAAATAAAACATAAATAAAATGACGATAAAATGACATTCACATTAAAATATTAATTAGAACCTTCACGCACGCACGCACGCACATACAAAAACACATAAACAACACTCAACGATGAGCATGTTAGTACCCTCTTACTTTCTTCACGTTCCTCTTTCTCCTTACTTTTTTCTTTCTCCTTACTTGGTTTGTTGGGCCTAACTGACCCAGCTAAACCAACATTCAATCAGTGCATTTAACATAAATGTATTTGAATATTTGAAAAAATGTATCTTTTGCTATCAGAGTGTATAAATTTGATGCACATATTTTAATAAAGCATGTAAAAAATATTTTGTAAAATAATTAAGAAGAATTATGGTTTTATTATATATATTGCATAAGATGACTTTTATATTTTGTTATATTTTAAAGTCAACTTCATGGAGAACTAACTACACTAAACAAGTTTCCATCAAAACAACAAATGGACATTTTAACTATGTCTATATATTACACATACACACAAACATACACACATATACATACATACATAAACATATGTATAAATAAAATAAATATAATTATTTGGTTAATTCATAAACTTAGTTACAAGAAAACAAACCTGGTTGAAAGATACCAGCACCAGCATTCATAGGTCCATTATGTTGAGTCATTCCAGGCGGGGGCATACTTCCCATCCTTGAACTTCCAAGGGAAGGTCTTACAGAGCCCTAATCAAATAAAATTAGGTTAGTATCAATTTAAAATCTAAATGCTGAAGTGTTTCAAATAAAATTATCATTCATCAAACATGCTTAATAAATTATTATCAAAAAAATATAAAAGTAAAACTGGAAATAAATTTAAGGCTTAAATTTTAAGCTTATCATCAAAATGGACATTCAAACATGTCACAAAAGAAATAAAATTTCAAATCAAATCAATCAACATTCAACAAATAAAAAAATGAAATTCTAGAAATTATAGATGTAGATCCCTTGTATTGCTAACACAAAACATTGCAAGCCGAACCTTTGTAAAGATCAGCTCAAATTATTTTATAAAAACAAAAACTGTCGGCAGCTAAAGATTCTTCCGAAAAAGTTTGCTCACGATTATCATAGTAAGAATTTCGTATTTAATTATTAATTTAATATTAAATTAATTATTTATAATTAAAAATTAGATACAAAAAATCAAAGAAACTAACCGCAATTCCGGGCTGAGGAAATCTTGACATTAAACCCGTCTGAAGAGGAAATCGAGAATTTTGTTGCATCTTCCAACTTGTTTGAATCGTTTAGTTGAGATGAAAATTAATTGTTTGATCAAAAATTAAATCAAAATCATAGAAAAAATTTAAACATAAACAAAGGCAGTGCGTATACGGTTCATCTAATTCCACAAAGGATCCACAGCGCCTAATTTTTGAAAAATAAAACTGATTAAATCCAGAATATATATATATTTATATATATATATATATATATATATATATATATATATATATGCCATTGCGTTGTAAAAAGCTGATTGCATAATAACTAGCATACAAGTTGTTAAAGGGTCATTAGCAAAAGCTGATGGTATAATAATTAGCATTTAAGTCTTTAAAGGATCATTAGCATACCAAGTATATGTTCCATTAAGAAATCGGAACCCATTTTTGATACACCGCCCCATGGACTTCATTCAGTCATATAAAAAATCACTCTTCAACATAATAAAACTTTATTTGTACTTCGTTTTTCAAAAATTTTATCAAAACTAACAAGTACAGTTCTGACTGAAATGTCATTCCATGGAAATCAATTCATTTTAATGAATCTTCACCAGTTTTGTGCTGCCCTGGTATGCTATTGAAATCGAAACTGATACCATTAATTCATTTTATTACAAATCACTCTTCATTAGTATTTAGAGGATCAAGAAACACACATTGCACACATCGCCGTCGAACCTGGTCGCTGCAACAGCTGTGCCAGTCTCTAATTTACCGTTGCACCATTTCGACGCCCATTACATCAACTTTAAAATAGCAAAAATACTTTTAGAAAATAGATTTTATAAACGTAAAATACCGATTGGCAGAATCGAAATTAGAACGGTGATTTACAAGAATCTGTCGGTGGCTATATGGATACCTATGTAATCCATGGATGGCTATTGTTATTAACATTTTATTATATTACAAAACAAGGAAGTAGAAATTTCGTGAACTTTGAAATTGCCGACTTGCAAGTTAAAAATTAACTAAGACAAAAGACGAATGATTTGAAATTAAATACAGATAATCGACAAATTCATGCAAACTGGAACACTTATTAACAATTAAATACATTAACGTTAAACGTTAATGTTGCAAAAATGAAAATAACTAAAAGTACAAGAAGCATGAACAGTTTTAGAAATCGATCGTAATTTTGTATGAGGAATCTTGTTCGTCTTTATTTTCCAATTCTTTCCTGTAAAATTTATTGAGTCATAGATAAAGAAAGTCAGAGGTGCGGCACGTTTCAAACACAAAAAGTTTCATTTTAATTGTACGACAAAACGTTTGTTGACCTAAAAATTTAACGAATTAATAAAGTCTAAAAACTCAGTAAAACACCAAATTAAACATCCAAAAACTATGCAAATGACGACTAACTGATCAGATTTCAATGAAGTTGGCTGGAAAATGATTCCACTGTTGAGTGTAACGAATGCTGATTTATAACCTGCAATGAACGATCGAAACATTTTGCGTTACGTCAACAAACTGAATCATTAGGAAGGTATATTGTTTTTGAAACATCTAGCCACACTATTTAAAAAATACGACATGTGATTGGTACGAAAAGGGAAAAAGCTCTAAAATAGGACGAGAAACCGGAACTGTTATGAAACGAAAACGAAAGAAAGAATGTAAATACCAAAAAACATGACAAAACTACACAAACCGCTGTTGTTAGCTTCAGAAGCGTCCGTTCCATTGAGACCAGAGACTGCAAATGAGTTGTTGAAGACCAATGCATGACTGGCATCCTCGCTGTACGTTCGATTGAGGAGAGGTGCAGTTGAATCGGTGCTCGCCCTCGTCAAGTCCGGTCTCTTCAGAGCTGTTTTCTTGCTGTCCCTGTTCACTTGCTGTTCGAGGGATTGTGCGTGCATCTCTTTAGTTTGGCTATGAATAACTAGCGTAATCAACATGCAAAATATTATTAATTAACTAGTAATTTAGTTAGATTGTGCATTTCAATTGAAAAACCAACTTTAATTAAAGTGCAAAACCGGACAACTCACATAATTAGCATCATTGATGCCAGAGGAAGCATTGCCGATAACAATGCATCCAGCTCCAGTAGTAGTAGTAGTAGCAGCAGCAGCAGCAGAAGCAGCCACACTGGCTGCAACATCACCAGCGACACTGTGGTGAGGACTCTTCGTAGTCTGTTGTCTCCTCATCACCGAATTCTTGTGCGACAACCTCTCAACTTCTTCGGAATCTGATTCACCCGAATCATTGTCGGGACCAACAAAAAAGGCTCGATCCCCGATGTTGGTCGCGCTATCCTGGGAAGCCTACGACGGTGACAGAAGTGATGATGGAAAATGACACTAACAATATAAATACTAAAAATAATTAATTATATGGCTACTTGAAATGTCACCAACCTGCCTAGAGAGGACGGCATGTTTAGCGAGACTAACAAAGCTGGAATGAGACGATGTTTGAATTGGATTGGAGAGAGTATCTTCTTCAGGAATGGGACTGATAGCGCCGGTCCTGTGACCTCCCTCTCCTGCTCCCGCATCTCCGTCCTCTGATTCGTCACTCTCGCTGTTCGTCTCGACACCTGTAGCCTCCACAATATTGATGAGTGCCTCCGCCTCCATCATCACCTCGTTTACAAAACTATCTTGCCTCATCAGCTGCTGCTGCTGCAAGGAGAGCTGATAGTTTTGCTGCGGTTTAGTAAATAATGAGAGAGACTGCGGTGGGATAGGTTGCTGCTGCTGTAGTTGCTGCTGTTGTTGCTGCTGCTGTTTAGAAATGTTAAAATTTTTGAAATCCATTTCTTGTTCTTTGGAGATGGCCTTCATCATTTGTGTTGTTGAAGGAATGTACGGCTGCTGCTGCTGTTGTTGCTGCTGTTGGCTTCTGAAGAGGCCGATGGATGAGATGTTATTCATTGACTCCATGCTGTTCCCTGCGAGGGTGTTGCAGCTGTCCGACGCCAATCTTGACAATTTTTTTGGAGATTAAATTATATCGGTTTTAATAAAAAACATTTTTCGCTTGAAGGGTAGGAAATTTTACTAAAATATAATTTTACATTCAAAAACATTTTTTATTTTCACTTATGTCTGATAAAAAAGGATCGTAAACAAATGTCGCCAATAACTTGAAATAATTTATATCACAACTAAATAAAAACTATCAAAAATAAAAACAAAACAACTGAAAATTGATGATAGCAACAGCAAAATATCGGTTAAAAATACCGTTTGGCTTTTTCAGCAGCTGACTCAAGCACACCGGAAGCAGAATTTGTTTGAAATCTGGGCTTAGGTGAAGGCTCCCTGCCAGTTACAGTTGATTCATTTGCAGAATTGAAAAGGTTAGTAGCAGTCAGTGATTGGTTCATATCAGATGACGATGTCGGATCATGCTGCTGTTGTTGCTGCAACTGCTGCATCTCCATGTTACGCAACATCTCGATAAGACAGCGGAACAATTCCCAGTCTCCAAATTTCATCTTCATGTTGCTCTTCAACTCGTTCAGATCACAGTTAGACAGGACTATTCCATTGATGTTGTTAGCTTTCAGTTGTCCGATGTAGTCATCCAGCATGTCAGCACTGAGACCATCCAATTGCTCCATCAAACGACAGAGATCGTCGCAGGTATAACGAGCTAGCGACTTCTTCGGCATGTTGCCCTGTTTTGAAATTGAGTGAAAAAAATGTTATACTATAAAAAATATAATAACTATTGTTATTTAATCAAAAATATACAATAAAAATAAACTTCTTTTAATTAATAGAACGGCATTTTCAAGTATTACAAACAGAGAAGTAAAAACAAACATGAAGAAAGACACGTACCTTGATGTTAACTGGCACGTTGAGTGAAGGTGGTGCCAGAGTTTGCGCGGCAGTACCCATTGGTGGAGCATAGAAGAGATATGGATGTTGGAAGTAGTTCGGTGGACCCATCATCATTGGCGGCATCGTGTGACTGCCAGAATATCAAAATTTGGCTTTGAACATTTGTAAAACTCCAAAAACAACAAAAAGCAACTAACTGTAGCATCAACATCATCGAAATTGACATCAACAATATCTAAACATAGAACAGCACACCAAACGAAGTTGCAATCAACACATCTGACAATAAACAAAATCGAAAAAAGCATGTACCTACCAAGGACTACCAGAATGATTCCTTCTCCTAAGTAATCCACTGCTAACTCCAACGGCTCCAGCGGCAGAAGTTCCACCAGTGGTTAGACTGCCCAGCGTTCCATACTGACCAGCCCTCATCCAGTTTCTTGCATCCATTGGCGAGGTCATCTGGTTGTTGTACATCAACTCTCCAGCCAGGTTCTCTGCGTTCTGTTGCAGTTCTAATGGCACCGGATACATACTCATATATCATCACAGAATAATAAATTTTAAAGTTATGATGTTGAATAAAAAATATAACAATCCTGATTATGTTGAGATCATTCTCAACCTAATCCTTACGACTCATTAGCAAGAAGGATGATAATGAAACATGTGGGTGATAGTAGGAAACATGAAGCAAGGAAGTAAATAAAGAGTGCTTAACAAGACCTCTAATTAACTTCCTGAGGTAAGGATCAACATTGATGGTGCACGGAAGAAATCTCTTCATGTCTGCAACAGTGATGGGCGGCGAGTTATTGGCCAGGAAAACTTCTAACTTGCGAACATTGCGATCGATTTCAACCAGCGGATCGACATCTCGAGATAATGGAATCTTGTGACTTACTCTGCGTCATTTCGTTCAACACATCATTGGCGCAGATTGCACAGACAAACAACACGGAAGCAAGCAATGATTAAAAACTGAAACACACACACACATTTAATACTGTTTAGCCTTGAAAATATTTCAAACAAATTTTCTGTAAACTTGATTTGAAGTACAACCACCAACTTATTCAACGAAACTAGCAAAACTGAAAGCACAATATGAACAAAGCACGAATAATAAATATCAACCTATCATAAATAAATTTAATGTTCTGAGAGTCCTCGATGTTTTCGTGGTCTTCCACCTCCAAGATAACCCACGATAATCTGTAGGGCCACTGCTCAGTTAAGTTGATCCAGGAAGCGAGTTTGTACCAGTTGAACTCCACGTTGAATGCCCTTAACAGGCGCCCTGCCAGGATGACGACGTCGACGACGATGAAGATGGTCACGTTTACGTTGAATAATAAAAATAAAATATTACGACGACGGCAACCAACGCTGGCAAATCGAGAAATAGTTGCAAGATGAAAAGCTATATATTAAAAATGACAAAAACTGAAAGTATTGCTATGTCATGCTAGCAAACAATAATCTTGATTCAATTGTTAGACCAGCTGTTCTGTCTGGCAGCCAGTTTCTCAACTAACCAGTGACAGCCAGGATGTTCATGAGTCTCTTCATGTTTCTGGGGTTGATGTCGCTGAAGTACGACGTCTTGTTCAAGGATTTGGACAGGTCGTACAAAGATGGCTGTCTCAATAGTGTTGTGCTGTTTGATAGCGGATTGCTGATTGACAGTTTGTTCCTCCGCCCTGCTTTTGACTTGCCTACGTCGGTCAACGATAAGTAGGAGGCCCCAGAGATTTGCGACTCTTGTCTCTGATCGGTACATTCAAAAAAAAAGTATAAACACCAATTACATTTTCAAAGTTTCCAAATGTTTATCAACCAGCTAACAACCAAGCAACAACTAATTAAAAACCAGCCAACAACCGACCAACAACCGACCAACAACCAACTAACAATTAACTAACAACCAACTAACATGACAATTGAAAGCAACGCCGTGTACATCACTGTTCTGGTAGATATCCAACTTTGTGACATTACGTACCGGTGGCTTGGGAAGGCACTGACTCTGAATGAAGAAGGGCAGTTGCACGATATTACGTAGATAGTCGTGTCCGTTTATGCTAGTATCTCTGAATTGACTGTTTAAAGGTTTGTTGAAATCACATTTTTTATTAGACTGAATTCAAAACAAAAGACATTCGCTCGTGTACACGCCCAAAACGACCAACAATAAAATGTTTGTATAATATATACAAAGTGGAAAAATAAGACACAAATTTACAATGTGTAGCATGCGTAAGTTGTAGATGGTATACAAACAATATGTGCACTCACATAGGAAGGCATTGATTGCCGTGCATACCTGTGTATGTTGTGTTCAATTCCTTTGATGATGACGTGTGGATCGATGGCGAGAATGATGACGAATGGTGAATTGGTGTTACCGAACAGAATGTTAACGAGATCGAGAACGTTCAACAACTTGTCCTGCTCACAACTGTCCAGCCCGTCGACCACAACAACCAGCCGGGAGTGATTGCCTGTGAATGAATCCATCGTTCGGACCATCCATCCTATGTGGTCCACCTGGTTGTCATGATGATTGGTGGGGGAGCGGTCAAAATTTAAAACCGGTAAGAAAATTAGCCAAAATACAAATAAAGGTTGCGCAAATATAACAGACGATGTAAATTTGAAATGAAAGAGTCAATTTTTCCAATAGCAATCCAGAAAATATTGACCCGTATCATTTTGTGGACTGAACCAATTAACCTGGCCTAGCTAACCAATCAGCATCAACAAGATGACCTACTGACCTCTTTCTTAAGGAGTGGCACAATAGCATCCAACTTGTTGACGTCATTTATTCCTTTCGAATTTATCTTCTGAATCTGTTTCCTGGTCGGAATGACCAAACTGACAACAGTCCTGCACCAGAGGTAAATATTGCCAAGAATAAAAATACCAGCCAGGATGAACAAAGCGAGGATGATGCCGTTGATGAGGATGGTCCTTTCAGATGAAAAGTCCTTATCGAATCCCAGCACGCAGATGAGAACGGAGGCCGTGATGATGACTAGGAGGATGAAGATGACGAGGACAAAGTAGGGAATGCAACACAATGATTTGAATCGACCGTGCTCGGAGGCTACGATGGATTAGGTAGGATTAACACAAGAGATTAACATTTATAGCGACAACTCAACAAAACACATGCTACCAATCATGGTCGAAATGATAACATCCATAACGTTTACCTTTCTTAGGCTTGAATATTTTGAAGAGTCTGGTGATGATGACTCCGTAGTCATTCTCGATGGCATCACAGAGGGTGCTGATGATGCTGATTATTGATTTCTCACCCATTATCGTATTCAGGTGAGCATTGTCGGTGAAAATGAATCTATTTGGAGAAATTAAACCATAATGAATACAGATTCGCATCAACGTCATCATCGTAGTAATAATCATTACATCCCCATCATCATCGTCATCATCACTATCATCATCACGTTGACCTGATAGGAGCTGTGTCCCTGTTTTTTTGTTCGGGTACATTGCAGAAGATGACCTTTGAAAGGAGGCTGACGAATTGAAATTGCTTGCTCAGATAGAAGATGATGTTCACAGCCGCCGACCAATCACGTTTGACCGCCCCAAAATATGACAAACCTGATTGGTTCAATTAAATAGGACAATCAGTGAAAATGCAAAAAAAAAAGAAAAATTGACATCTTTTTATAAATTCGAAAAATAAACCAATCAGAGCAAAGCGTCGAATCAAACAACTCCAACAAACCATCCATCCATCTAACAACAAACAGCCAATCAATCAATCGGCCAACTATAAAAGACGAGCAGAGCTAAAAATAGACTTCCGGCGATACCCAGCCCAGCAGGCCATATGTAGATGAGACCGACGACTAGACCGATGACGGATGAGACGATGAAGGAGAAGAGGATGAAGATGAAAGTGATGTTAAACCTTGGCTGGACATTCCAACTTGCGTAACTTTCCATTTCAGCTGCATGTGTATTTGTTATGCGTATTTGTCATGTGCCTTGTTATTTTCATAACTTGTAAGCGTCAGTTATTTTGCTGCGTCAGTCTGTTCCAAACCAATACATCCACAACAAAAACGTCTAACCTCTGAGTCTCTTGATCATGGAAGACTTTCCACTTTCCACCAATACATCCACAACAAAAACGTCTAACCTCTGAGTCTCTTGATCATGGAAGACTTTCCACTACCCCACCTGGCGAAAAGGCCAACAGTGATGGGGGTTCTGAGGGACGGTTCACCCAGCACATCTGCTATCGTGGCACTGTACAACTCGTAACCTTGCATGTTGTCGTCTGCGTTCAAGTTCTCTGAAGTGAGGTTATACATTTCATCATCTTTTATCTATTTTCATTGATAAGTTGATGCGAAACTGAAAGCTGCAGAAAAAAACAGCACATACATATAAGTATCAGGTATGGAAACATTCAACTTTAATAAAACTAACTGGCTCCGAAAACTTGAGCGAGAAGACTTCTTTCGTGACCAGCGTCAATGCCGTAAGCCGTCTCGCCCTTCTTGTTCTTGTTATACAGGAGCTTCGAGTTCTTTGGGTTTCGCAGCAGGTACTCCGTGATGCGCTTCGATCGACTGCGAACTGAGATGTGCAGGCAGTTGTCC